TTCATTTATATTTTGTATTCTTGTATTTATATTTTATACTTATATTTTGAGTGAAACTGTTATATGATTGCCACCATAGAAGACGGACATTTTTCCCTTCTTATATTTATTTATATATTGTAATACTCTTTTTGTCATTATTTTTACATGATTAATGCTACAAAATAATTGGCATGTGCTGTTTTGTAGCATTAGAAAATAAAATAAAATAAAATAAATAAAAAAATAAAGTGACTTTTTTCGACGGAAGCTCGAGCTTTACGATCGAGGTCTCAAATTTAGCATATTTTGCCACATAAATTGTCAAAGAATAGAGTAGAAAACTAGGTTATAAATTAAAATACACTCTGTAATCATCTCATTGAACTATGATTTATTTGGGTAGAAAATTGGCTACACTGGTCTATAGATAAGACGTCTACTCTAAACGTAAAGGGTAAAACGCACACAGCAAAAGCTAGGCCTACATTTAAATATGACAGAATCATTAGAGACATTAGCCCCGGATCCTCCAAAAAAATACACAGGATATTGACATACCGTAGATTTACCATACTCCCCTGTGTATTTATTTGCCATCGATATCGACCAACTGAAGACCATTTAACGGTTACTTCTGTAAGGTTTAGAGGTAGAGTGCTGCAGAATCAAATAACCCAAATTGCAAGTAGTGGTTTTGGCACTGTTTAACAACAAAACAAGCTCATATGTTGGCATCCCTGTTTTCTGCACTTCATTGCCGATCAGCTTAAATGCATTGTTACAGAGTTATCTATGAGGTGTGTTATTTGGGATTTATTGTAAATAAGATTCAACATAAAGTTTTCGCTGGCTCAAACAGAGTTTGTATTGTGGGTCTACTTTTTTTATTTTATGCAGATCCGGATTCCTTATATGTTTACAGGTCTATGAACAGTTGATTTATTAGACACTGGTATCAAACCTGGAAACTTAATCATTTGTTGGTATAAAACCAATCCTTTACTTTTAACGAATGTTTCTACAGTACTAGGCTACATAGTCTTTGAGTTTGTGGAAACACCATGTTGAGTCTTATTTATAGTCTAATCTAATCTAAACGTATGCATTTTAGGTATTTTGGAGGGGGGGGGGGGTACAGGGTGGTCCAGTAACGCTGGTCCAGATGTCGGCCATTGATGGTCTCGTGCGCCACCTTGCTCCAACTAATCTTTAACGGCGCCTCACTCCTGCTAATGGTTCCCCATTCACTCTACTCCAGACGAGTCGGAACACGACACGACATGTTCACACTTATCACCGGCAATTATTAACTCTCTCTCCGAAAATGTTTGATCTGTTATAATCATTTCTTATTGATGGTTGCAATATGGTGTTCACCACACTACGATGTTTTTAGCCCTTTTACAAACGTTTCTTGAACTATTGGTGTCTATGCCACCTGACATCGTTATTTGGGGACCGAGTAGGTTTTTACATCTCTTGGGCCGAAAATCAGCTGTTCGCTTACTTATTGACACATTAATCCTATACTCTAATACGAGCAATGTTTGCTTGTATGTATGTATGTATGCTTGCTTGCTTGCTTGCAAACAAGATCTCGAAAACGGCTCCGACGATTTTCTTCAAATGTTGTAAATAGTTTATTTCTGGCCTAAAAACGAGTTTACTGCAGTTAGAACTGCCAACAAAAATCTAATTACGTAGAAAAATGAAACTGAAAATCACATTTTTTAACATTAGTCTTATGGGTTGCTAGGTAACCATGTTGGTTGAATTAAATAACAAGGAAAAAGTAAACAAAAGACTTGAAGTTGTAGCATTTGTTCATAAGCCAACTACCCACAGTATACTAGCAAATTGCAAATACAGTACAAAAGGAAAAACATCACTTGTTAATATTTAGCAAAGATTATACTGAAGATTACTCGATAAATTGTAGTCAAGGGTAGAAGTGCGAAGTCTGGAATCTGTTTATGGCGAATAGATTAAGGTATCTGCAATCCTAAAATGCTATGGGAAGGGAAGGAAACAGGTCCGCGACGTAGGAAGTGGTGAGAGAAGTATTAAAGGCAATCATAAAATAATATGGGAATGGAGGGAAAGAGGTCCGTGACGTAGGAAGTAATGAAGGAAGTAGTCAAGGCGAGTAGTCCGGAGAGTGGGAACTGTTTATGTTGATTAGATTAAGGTATCTGCAATCCTAAAATGCTATGGGAAGGAAGGAAAACAGGTCCGCGACGTAGGAAGTGGTGAAGGAAGTAGTCAAAGCGAGCTGTCCGGAGTGTGGGAACTGTTTATGACGATTAGATAAGGGTATGGGCAATCCTAAAATGCTATGGGAAGGGAGGGAAACAGGTCCGTGACGTAGGAAGTGGTGAAGGAAGTAGTCAAGGTGAGCTGTCCGGAGTGTGGGAATTGTTTATGACGATTAGATAAGGGTATGGGCAATCCTGAAATGCTATGGGAAGGGAGGGAAACAGGTCAGTGACGTAGGAAGTGGTGAAGGAAGTAGTTAAGGCGAGCTGTCTGGAGCGTGGGAACTGTTTATGATGATTAGATTAAGGTATTTGCAATCCTAAAATGCTTTGGGAAGGGAGGGAAACAGGTCCACGACGTAGGAAGTGGTGAAGGAAGTATTCAAGGCGAGCTGTCCGGAGTGTGGGAACTGTTTATGACGATTAGATTAAGGTATTTGCAATCCTAAAATGCTATAGGAAGGGAGGGAAACAGGTCCGCGACGTAGGAAGTGGTGAAGGAAGTAGTCAAGGCGAGTAGTCCGGAGTGTGGGAACTGTTTATGACGATTAGATTAAGGTATCTGCAATCTTTAAATGCAATGGGAAGGGAGGGAAACAGGTTTGCGACGTAGGAAGTGGTGAAGGAAGTAGTAAAGGCAAGTAGTATGGAGCATGAGAACTGTTTATGACGATTAGATTAAGGTGTCTGCAATTCTGAAATGCTATGGGAAGGGAGGAAAACAGGTCCGCTACGTTGGAAGCGGTGAAGGAAGTAGTCAAGGCGACCGAAAACGAACTGTCACTGTCCGGAGTGTGGGATCTGTTAGTAACGATTAGATTAAGGTATCTACAATCCTAAAGTGCTATGGGAATGCAGGGAAACAGGTCCATGACGTAGGAAATGGTGTAGGACGTAGTAAAGGCAAACCGTGTGGAGTTTGGGAATGGATTTATGTATCTCCAATACTAAGACTGCTTTCAGAGTGAACTAATGATTTTCCCCGAGCAAAGCTCGGTCCCCAGGTACTGCATATTAAATACACAATCAGTATCCATAGAATTGCAATAGACTTGTTAGCGAATTTCCCATATAAGCTATTACCGTAGTAGCCTACTCATGGTAATACCTGGTCCCGGGACCGATTTACTTTTTGTTTTGAGGTCTCTAGAGACAAAAAACACCATCCGTTCGAATTCATATATATATAAATTATATATATATAAGTTATATATACAGGGAGCGGCAAAATGATCTGACGGTTTTCTTTGCTGCCCTGTCAAGTGAGTGATTAGCGTAGGGTGGTGGGAATAGAGGCGTTACAAAGCCAACGTGTGAACATTTTTAGTAGCCACGGAGCCGTGGGACAGCTGAGCACCATGACTTTGTAGTAGAAGTGTTTTTAAAAGTGGCAATTCCTGTGTAGCTGTTCAGTACACGTTTCAATGTGGGTCAATGAAGAAAAGTCCCAACTCGAAACACCATTTTGCCGTAGGTGGGTAACTTTAGAGCTACTAGTTCAGCATTGAAACTAAAATCTGACTACGTGGTGTGAAACTAAAGAGAGCGAGAAAGACTATGTGGCGTGATTGAAAGTGTGATTCGTCACTCATAATGACAACTTTGTCATCACTACTTGTTCTGAAAAAGAGATGCTTTTTGCATAACCACTGACCTTCAACTGTTGCAGTTGCACGATTGCCATTTTGTATGATTGAAAATGCAGATGGTATTGTAATACTCTTCTACTGAGCGGCCAGACAAGTGCAGAGGTGCAGCTTATTTACGTTTAGGCTGCTGAGGACTAACTTCCACAGCGTATCTCACTCTCTCGGCGCTCCCTGTTGTCCGAGCTGACATTGGACAGCCTGTTGACTTTTTTCAATGCTATACTAGTAGCTCTGAAGTTACCTACTCACAGCAAAATGGTTTTTTGAGTTGGGACTTTTCCCCTTGGACCCATATTGAAAAGTGTACTGAACAGCTAGACAGGAATTTACACTTTTAAAAACACTTCTACTACAAATACATGTTTCTCAGCTATCCCATGGCTCCATGGCTACTAAAAATGTTCACACGTTGGCTTTGTAACGCCCCTATTCCCACCACCCTACGCCACTCATTCGCTCGACAGGGCGGCAAAGAAAACCGTCAGATCATTTTGCCGCTCCCTGTATATATAACTTACTGTATATGTCATTTTTTAAAGGCATGAAACAATGTGTTGATATACAATCCATAGATCACACCGGTTATCAAAGCAGATTTAAGTCTTCAGAAACCCCTGTAACGAGAGGTGTGCCCCAGGGATCCGTTCTTGGCCCTGTGCTATTCCTGCTCTTAAATCATGTCCCCTCATGTGTAGCTCAAGGTAAACTGTGCCTTTTTGCAGATGATACCTCCCTGACACTATCCAGCCCTTCCCTATAGAGTCACTCGAGCAAATGGCATTCCTCGAGGCGAATATCTTGCTTCAGTGGTTTGATGATAACCTAAATCAGTAATGTAGATGAGCTGTTGGGAGTGCTGGTGGCTTGATTTATTTGTGTCCAGTTTTATTCTAAAATAGGTAGCCTAAACTTACAACATTAACAAATACTGTAATGGGAACGGAATGTCTAGTTCTGTCAGTGTCAGTGGTCAAAGGTCAAAGGTTAAAAAAAAACTTTATACTCCAGTACAATGGTCCTCTTCTCTTCTTTTGTATTTCACACTCTATCTTTCTGAACCATGAACCTGTCTCAGTCTTCGCCCATGTATACTCACAGTGTACTCTATTTACAGGCTGGTATTGCAGAGACGGGCAACAGTGACATATGGCCGCTAGAGAGGCCAGAGGGCATGCCTGCCATACAGTCACTGGAGGTGATGTGTGGTAAGGATCATATGGACGTCCATCTCTCCTTCACACAACCCTTCGAAGGCATCGTCTCGTCCAAGGGGCAGTACGGAGACCCGAGATGTGTCTATGTTCCTCCGTCTACCGGCAAGACCTTCTTCTCGTTCCGCATCGCGTACGCAAGATGTGGCACCAAGCCGGACCTGAACGGGCAATTCTACGAGAACACAGTCGTGGTCCAGTACGACAAGGATCTGCTAGAAGTGTGGGATGAAGCTAAGAGATTGCGGTGTGAGTGGTACAACGACTACGAGAAGACGGCTTCTAAGCCTCCCATGGTGATAGCGGACCTGGATGTCATACAGTTGGACTTCAGAGGTCAGTTTGAAAATAACCAATATAGAGCTTTTTTGAGTATGAATGTGGAAATAAGTACACTGAAAATTTTCAGTGCCGAAAGTTCAAAAGCACAAATTTACTTGTCAATTTATGTAATCAAAATTCTTTAATTTTCCCATTGATATTTTTTTTACTCCTGCACCAAAACTGCATATCTGCTATTGGTTGGCTTACTGTTCACCAAACTGCAGACTCTACTTCTAATAAACAACGGGTAAACTCTTACTTACGATAATATCCAGAGAATCCTAAACCAAATTGCTGATTCATTAAAACCTTCCAATTGGGAAGAGTGGTTAATTTAATTCCTACAAAAAATTCTAAAGTAGGCCAAGTGAATATATCTATATAAATAAAATTAGAGTTTTGTCTGTACATTGCTTAGAATAATGAACTTTTTGGTTATTTTTACATTTCATAGGTCAGAGAAACCGAATCAAACCTTATCTCAATTTCTGTCTGTCTGTCTGTCTGTCTGTCTGTCTGTCTATCTGTCATTCTCTTGGTAACGCTAAAATACGCACTTTATTACAACTACTCCTCAATAACTATAGCACTGTCCCGCCTGAAACTTATTTTCCAAATACTATACATATATGAGATGGTTTTAGACGTATTTCATCGAATATGAGACAGTTAGATATTTAACAGTAAACCCTTGAAAATCAAGTTTTTGTCGATTTTTGACGTGGAATTTCTGGAAGCCCATGTTAACCTTATGAGAAATGAAATTATTGAATCTTAACAGCTGTTTCAATTAAACAAGTTGGTTCTGTTCTGTGATGTTCAATAGCATTAAAGTTACAAGGATTACCAACAGGGTGCAGCACTAGCACTATTATTTCTTTTACATTTATGACAACAGCTAATTTGCAACCTGGAGGCGAGTGAGCGTAGCGAACGAGCTAACCTGAAGGCAAGTGAGCGTAGCGAACGAGCTAACCTGAAGGAAAGTGAGCGCAGCGAACGAGCTCCAACATACAGGTGAGTGAGCGTAGCGAACGAACTTCAACCAGGACGTGATTGAGCCATGCAAACGAGATCAGATAGTAAAAATAAAAGTAAGCCTACCGTTATAGGATCGACCGGCAGACACAGAGGTAATTTAACCTTTTATTGATTGTCATACCGATCCGGAACAACAAAAAACAACATAAAATGAAGCTATGTATAATAGTTTGGCCAGCATATCTTAAAATATGCAAACCAACTGCTGTTCGTTATATAAGAAGGTTTCAACTGAATATTATAAGATCCCCGTGCGTAGAACGGGTACACAGCTAGTTTCTAATAAAGGTAAACATTATCAGGTTATTATAAAGTTAACAAGGGAAATCTGGTGCCCTTTGATAGTCAATGATATGACACTAGACCTTGCTGTTATATTTAGTCGAATGCTGTTTCAGGAGACAATGTGGACTGTTGGATGGAGATCCAGCATGGTAAAGGCCCCTGGGCTCCTCCTGTTAGTGGGATCGTGCCTCTGGGATCCACCCTCACCCTTGTAGTGGCCATCAATGATTATCGGGGTGAGTTGTTCATCAAAGGCCTGTTTTCTTACTAGTTCCTTTACCCATGCTTGGCAAAAAGAGAGAACAATATTAATTCATTTGTTGAAAACAGTTTGATTTAAAATTTGTGCAAATCATTTGGGTGAGTGAGAACACCAATTTGCGTTATCCAGAATGAATGATACAAACCATCCATGATATTGCCAGTTTCTTTACCCCTGCTTCACAATGTGGACTTCAAACCAACTGTAAAAATAGTTTAGAAGTAGTTACATTCCAAGAAACAAAAGATACCAATTAAAACCATCTGTAAAATTTCTAGTAGCTTTATCTGCAGAAGGTAAGACTACTTGATTAGAACGTAGTAGACTAATGGGGTCCTTGTCTATACATTTAAAACAGTAGGCCTACAATAACACACCCGTCATTGATTATAGGAACAATAATCATCTGCACAAACTTATGTTTTGTAACATTCTCTTTGGTTTTATTCTATCAACTATCAACCACTATGTGGCAGGATAAAAATAAAGACTTCAAAGACTTTGTTGAAATATAAACACATACTCGTTATTGTAAATATAAATAGAGAAAAAGTATACATTGTTATTTTTAATTTTGGTTATTATAACACTACAATACCCATACCTATGGAGTCTACAATATACCTTCAGTCCGGAATCAAAATTCCAAGACAAAATTTCAGTTTTCACTTTGGAGATTGATAAATTTAAGCAAAGAGCTAAAAAGGGAAATTTACTGAATAAGATTAATGGTTTGTAGATTGTAACTTACTCCAACCAGAACAAAGACAGTCGTCTCCCATTGTTAAGTCAACTTGTGAGTCTGTCCTCACAAGTAAGTCAGGGATTTTGTGCCAAACCCTCCTCTAATGGTATGTGGTTTTGGATGGACCAGTACCGGGAACAGAGTTCAGTTTACTTCAGAATAGTTTTTTTTTTATTAAGTACCTTTTTTACCATTACCCATCGTAATAAAACAGACCATCTTCTGTTCCATTTAATCTCAGTGGGTTTAAGATATCCTGTGGAGAATGTGGGTACATTTGCCAACATAGCAAAATAAAACATGAATCATCAATTTCCAGGAGAGTTTGACATGAGGGTGAAGTCCTGCGCAGCTTCAGACGGAGGCGGCCACATCATCCAGCTGAGCGACGAACACGGCTGTGTCCTGCGACCAAAGATGATCAGCAGATTCTTGAAAGCAAGAATAGCGGACGAACGTGCATCAGTCATAACATATGCTTTCTTCCATGCCTTCAAGTTTCCAGACGCCCTCAGCGTTCACATTAAATGCAAAGTGGAGATCTGCAGACACGGATGCCTCGACCATTGTCAAATAGGGGATGAAAGCTACGGAGAGAGTGTTCCTCAGGAGACCTACAGACCGTTGGAGAGAAGAGACCCGATGCAACAGAAGCCGACACCTCCGGAGAAGTCGGAAGTCCCTCAAGATACCTTTGGCGACCTTATATACGATGACATTTCCAACATCGGGGACGATCTGATCAATAAGCCAAAGCCGCAAATGAACGTCAACCACCCGGAGGCTCAGCATCAAACTGCAGGCAAGAACCCTGCACCCATCAGGGAAATTGTGGACGACATTCCTCGGCCTTTCCATGTAAGTATCACAAACTTAATTTGATGCTCTAGATTTAGGGAAAATTATTTTGCTTATTAGTGTCTTAAAAAGGTAGACTTAAAAAAAAACACTGAAAGTAAAAATACATACATTACTCTATAGTACAATAATGAGGCTAAATGTTTAGTACAGTTTTTACCTTTAGCAGAATAGATCACAACGGAAAAAGATTCTGTGACCTTCTCCTTAGAGGAACCTGTTTGGGTTCCAAACTTGTTAGGTATTTCTGAACAAAATCTGAAGTTTTGGATACTGAAGTACTCATCCCACCTATGGACCAACTGTAGCCATTTAATCAAATTCAAGGAGAAGATAGTTGATAGTTGTACCTATAGAAATTTACTGGCCGGTACTTCCGGAAGCCAATAGTATATAAGGGACGCCATTTTTTATTCTTGTAATTCGCCTATTGGGTCTTATGATGATTGGAGTGTCCAATCAAAATCGATCACCACTTACCATCTTTCATTATGTATTTACCGTCTTGTGAGTCAACAGTATAAGTGTAAATATATTATTACTAGTGTTATTGGACGTATATCTTTTTTGTTTTTTCTTATAATCGATGTGACATAAAAAGAAGCTATAATTTATAACCAGTTTGGCTTGCTTAAAAAGTTGGCGTATTCAACAGAAATTAGGAATTAATATCAGCATACTGTATTCGTTTGTGTGTTCAACTATGTTCATGTGTGTTCTAACTTGCTATACAACTTAACCATCAACATTTGCAGGAGCCCCAGATCAGACCAGCCGGTGGACATGAGAGGTTTCCTCATGGTCCCAGGAACCTAGACACTGATTCAGAGCCTATCATAGGTACACTGACAGTGTCACAACGGCGGCGGCGCTCCGTGGTGGTGTCTGACCGCAAGGTGCGCAGTGCAGACGTGGGTGTGAGCGGACTGTACGAGGTCATCTCCGAGGCAGACTTGGCGTTCACCCCGGACTCCAAGGCGGAGGCTGTCACAGTGTTCCAAGGCAGAATCAGAGAGGAGGTTGTGTACGGGATATGTCTCCCAGTGCCGGGGTTCAGTGTCTTGTTCTTCCTGGTGGCAGTCTCATCTGTCGTGTCAGCACTCGTGGCTGGCTCCCTGCTGTACCGCTACCGAGTGCAACGTGAAACACAGCAGCTGGCCGCGCAACAACAACGAGCGCGACAACCCGACAACACCGTCGTACTCAACTCCCTCACTGGCTGGATGGCCCTGAGACTGCTACGAGCCCGTGCGCAACCGACACCGCAACAGACTTGCGGATAGACAGCTCAGTGACAAATGCTCAGTTCAAGTAATGTGTATTGTGCCAAAGAGGTTAATTAGTTTACTGTATAAATATTTGACAGTTGATGAAACTAGTTTTAAGACGTCTGTTATTACGTTTTTGTTATTGTTATGTTGTTGTGTTGTAACAAAGACAGCTCAATTAATTTATGTTTTACGTCATTTAAATGTTGGTGCTCTTATAAAGCTTTTAGGGTAGTTTTTGTTAAGTTTTGAATCTTAGCCTAGTTAGGTAGGTTTGAAACGGTCTTTAGACTGCCGTAAAATTAATCAAATTTAGTGTAGGTCTAGAAAAGATGGAAAATAGATTCACGCTTCCTGCAAGTTATGTAAGTTTTTAATGTAAAAAATTCTGAGTTAAGTATAAACAACATTCACAAAGCCATAAGAACACTTCATATGGATGTTACAGTACACTCCTGATTATCGGAGCCCCTGATTATCCTAGGTAATTTTTGGCCCAAATATATATTTCAATTTCCAGTAGGAAAACAACAATTACTTTATTATAGTATGTTTCTATTCAAGGAAACCTAAAAAAGCAATTAATTTGCGATTTATTGAAACAAATACAGTACATGGAATAACCATTAAGTATTATTTTAACGTTAGAATGAACCGCAATAACCTTAAGAATAAAAATTACTGTATATAGTACAGTACTAGGTTGGCCGGCTACCTACGGAAAACTAAACTGGACGACTGCAGAACATAAACAATAGCAGTGTCAGTCTTCTTCATTGTATGATGTGTTTGATGTGGACATTATTGTGTCAAGTTATAGATCAGGTGAAACTACAACGAAATGTAATTTTATGCTTTTTAAACTAGAAAGATCCGTATTAGGGTTTTGTTTTAAATAATGTAGTATAGTATATTGGTTTATCATAATTACAATAATACTGTGTTTATAAGCTTTTCTAAATAACTTCTCGATCAGCATTGTACGTGTTATTAAATTTACTTACCGTAAAGCTTTTCAAGACGATTGAAGAAGTTGAACTTGTTTGTTGTGTTATTTTTTTCTTTAACAATACAGTACTATGTTATTTGGAAAAAAGGTTGCTTCAAAATTACATATATCATTTTTCATTCGCTATGAGTTGCTTGAAGATATATTTTACAAGTATTTGACCTCATAATAAGGTACCGTAACCCTAACCTCAAAATCTATGCAACCTCGGTGTTATCCAATATTCTTGGTAACCGAGGTAGCCTTGGTCCCAACAACCTCGGTTAATCGGGACGTGTACTGTATAAAGTAACTAATATTATTTCTGTGAATAAAAATTTTAGTCATTTTAAACAGTAAGTAAAAATTAGTACACAGGAAACAAAAAAAAATTATACATTTTTTACAACTTAAGTTTTTTTTATGAATATGGTAGATACAGAAAACAGGTCCAATATTATCTATCCCGGTGTTTATTTTAAATGTTAATGTAAGTGACTAAAAGTGAATAGGATGATAAAATGTAAAAAACTTGCCTTAACTATCATCACCCTCTGTAAAGTAAATAATTTTTAACTTGTCTTTAATTTTAAAAGTTTATACAGAGTTTGCAATATTTTCATCTTATAAACAGGTGAGAATGATTGGTTCTAATATACAACCATGTGTCATAAACACACTTTTCCGACCAAGGCCAAAAATCTATACAAAAATCGAAAAAATAATTATGTTTTCTTAAGTAATGTTTTTAGCTTCCACTTAGATGTCGTAGGTAGGGCTTTATATGTGCAATTGAAAAATCTGCTAGTAAATAGATCAGACGAGTCATGATGGTGCAACACTGAGGTTAGAGTAGAATTTTGTGTTTTGTATAATACACCTGTAAATAGTATAAATGTATAGAAAATTACTTGTAATTCTTTAAACCATATGTCGATATTTATTGTCTACTTGAAATGTTAAATTATTTGCCAGTCACCTGTGGGGTGTACTAGCACTGAAATAGGCCCATTTAGTTATAAAATTGTCATTCAATATGCCAAGTTTCTTCCCTCCAGAACTGAACATGTTTACCAACTACAATGAGTTATAAATCATAACTGATTAACTAGTTCAAATATGTAACATGTTGTCATATAATTAAATAAAACCTTTTAATTGCAATAAATTGTAGAAAAATAGTATTATCGTTAATAGCTTTGTATAAATATAAATTTCTATTTGTGAAATAATCAATACTTTCTTAAGATATTTTCATTATGTTATTAGTTACCTCTAGAAAAACACCATCCCTTTAAATATCAAAAGAGAATTTTATTGATGTTATGAATTTATAGCTGTATTTAAGACAGTTATAAATACCGTACAGTATTTGTTATTTTTTAAATTGCAGAACCTCTAAAATTTAGGATTGGATACTACCTTTTTGTTTTATTTAATTTTAAATTAATAATTTTTAGACATCATAGGAACAAAATTACAAAATATTATTGTTAAGAATTGTATTTAGTATCCATATATACTCAGATTGCCAAATCCATTAAAGTCAAGCCTTTTTACAGCTATCTTCATAAATTATTAATTTTAAATTAATAATTTTTAGACATAATAGGAACAAAATTACAAAATATTATTGTAAGTTGAGAATTGTATTTAGTATCCATATATACATACTCAGACTGCTAAGTCCATTAAAGTCAAGCCTTTTTACAGCTATCTTCATCCTTATCGCTTTAATAAGACGGATGTAAACCATAGCTCAGTAGTAAACTGATAAGGAAAGCTCAGTGTTGTTGTGTAACTACTTGGTGAAAAATTACTCTTTGTGAACATTAATTTAAATTTGCATTATTCTAAAGAGTAACAGTTAAAACTTTAATCATACAAATAAAACAATACCGGTACAAGTTTTTCAAACTGGAATTAGGATCTTGGTTTTGATTAAATGATTAAACCATACATGAATTGAATACTAACTAAAAATTAATAAGAAACAAACACTAAAACACTAAAATGTTGTGATGATTCTTGTATGTTATAGAAACGTTCAGCACCAAGTAATGGTTTCAAAACATAAAAGCTTTTAGAAGGTCTATTTAAGTACAATTTGCATTGTCTCCTGATCCTATTATTATATTCATCCTACAAGAAGTACTAAGAGCATAGATTAATTTAATTTAAGTTTGTAATAAACGGATTTAAGATTCAGAGCCTCGTGAAAAAGTGAGTTAAACAAGACAAACATTCCAAAACTTTTATTAAATGAGATAGACACTACTTGTCAATTCTCTGTCATTTAAAGTTCAAACTCTGATGCAAAAAGTTCCACCCCCTTATATACTTAGTAAGGGGATGCTCAACTCCCCTAAAATTGATCTGCTAAATTTAGTGAATAATCATTGAATAGTTAGTAAAGGAAAGAATGACATAAAACACTAAAAGCCCAATAGAGTTTTGGAGGAAGGAAACTTCACATGAACGAAAGCTGTACAGATATTATCATCTTACTTTTCGGGTGTACATGGGAGTGGTGAAGGTGTGTGGCATTATAAATAATAATAAATAAATTATAAATTAGTATAAGAGTTATAAATATGTATTATAAACAATTTCCTCGAACCAAACGATAGTCCTTTATCCTTACAGTGAAAACACAAAAAGTATGAAACTATGATGTCATAGAAATCTTTACTGTCTTTTACAACCCACCAGTCATAAGTCCAAAAATAGCAATATTTATTTCTAGTGTTTGTAAATAAAATTAATGTTAAATTATGGAAATAAATTATTTTATAAACTTAACTTTGATTCATTAGACCTAGTTTTTACAGTTTAGATTGCTATAATTCACAGGAAAATACCACATAATAGTGGACATTTCTTTGAAAACCTTCATTTTCATGAGCGACATACATAAAACTAAGTAACGAATCATTTATAACATTGCAAATACCGGGGCTGCAGCAAACTTGATTTAAATTTCCTATTTAAATAACATTAGGTTTGCTGCTATAGGGAAATATAGCTCGGTATGAAATAATTGCATTTCTTAAATTTTATAAAAAACTATTCATAAACAAGCAAACTACAACAGATTACTTACTCTCCATTAAAATGAGATAGGAATTTTAAATATGCATATTTTTTGTTTTCCTCGTAGCCATAAGCATACAACTACGATTCAGTATACAAAATTATTTCTTTTTTAAGATCTACAAATGGTTAAGAAAGAAATTCCAAAATTTCTTGTACCATATCTTGTCTGGAATTATGATTCAAGGCCTTATGAAGAAGTAAGTAAAATAAGTCGAAACCAAAACTTTTACTAAATAAGAAACACACTTTTCAATTTTTTGTCATCCGAAATTTCAGATTTTAACTACAAATAACAAAATAGATGACCGTTTTGAGATTCAAAAATGGAAAAGCCAATTTTTATCCCATTGGTCTGACCATGCCAGTTTGCGAACTAGTTTGAATAAACGTAGGTTTGTACCAAATTTAATCAAAATTTGATGATTTTTACCTTTTTCCTTGAGGAGTTTACCTATGGACAATTTGGGTAGAAGTCGACTGCAATATTGCATTCTTTGACTCGGACCTCTGAACTTTTCACTCATCTTCACTTTGTGTACACTAATGACTATTAGAAGAAAAACATGATTAATATATCCATGATTAAATCAATGACTAATGCCTGGGGCTCAAAGAGTTTCTGAATCTAATGAATATTCATTTACAACAAAACAATCTATGGTATTGCAGAATTGTAACTATGATTGTGATACTGGTCGCTTGCATTCCAATGCTACTAAGATACAACATGCTTACCACACAATACTGTAGATATTTGGCACGAAAAAGGTAAGAATTAAAACCACTCATGTTTAAAACCCTTTATTAAGCTAATACATTGTGTAATAACTTATTTTAATCAATCTCAATAAGTGTGTAAGTATAAACTATAAACAGCGAATTGATTCTAATTGAATTTAAATGTCAAAGTTTATGTTAATAATGGTTTAAATTTATTATAATTATTTGTAATTTTCTTTATTAACTGATTGGATAACAGAGTTCTTGCTTTCTAAGTCAAAGGTCCAAATATGAAACCTTAATTCAATATTAAAGCTATTTGGGTTAAAACCTTAATGACTAAATAATTATATTAACAGTTATTGGACCCATATAAGGAATGTATTAAACTATAATTATAATTATATAGTTTATTCCTAAATTTATTTTAGTTTGTATTAGTAAAACCCTGCTTATAGAAACACATCCCAAAGAGGCAAAAGTAGACGTTCCTTTCCCATGTTAAAGCTGCAGCTAATTTTAAGATACAAAATAACTTGGTTGTATTATGCCACCTTTACAGTGTACTGATATCACAACAAACTGAAAGCAAAGTTCATTTATATCTGTAGAATCTTCTATTTTCTTACCATAATTACCATAGTAAATGTGTACTTTCATACCTAAAGGTAATTTGCAGAGAGCACAGAATAGAAATAGAGAGGGCATCGGGCGAGTGAAGTGAAGCCACCTGAAAATCGCCGTCGGCGGGTCCCAAATTTTGCTTCCTCTTCTACCTGATTTATTTCCAAAACTATTCATCATTAATTTTTCCAAAAAATATATGTTATGATTCAACTCAAGCTTTCAAACTTTGCCGCTGACGAAACATCCCTGACCAAAAAATAAAAAAAATTCTAGATCACTTACTTTTTCATGTTCTAATTCAAAATTGTATAATTTCTTTGGGTTTTAACGGCTGTTAAAATTACAATAAAATTATTTTTTATATTCCAACCTTACTGTCAGTGAGAAGCACTAATTTATAGTAGCTGTGCCAAATTTGGTAATTTTAGGTCTACTCTAAGTGTGTCTAATCATCGTACATTTGGAAAAGGTGATCTACCGCTATATGCAGCAGTTGCCACCACTTGCCCGTATAAGTGGTGGGGGATTGGCTACACTGCCCGCAATGCTTGCTGGATATACGTAGCCCCTCTATTTCTATTCTGTGCTCTCTGTGTAATTTGACAATTTATTTTAATAATACAACTAAGACTAGTAAATGTAGAACCATTATACAAAAATATCAAGGGTGACAAAAAAATCTACTGTAGTAGAAAAAGAACCTTTCAACCAACACTTAACAACACTAACAATTACTCAACAATTTTACAACTAACAAAAACAAACACAACAATCAACAGTTAACAATTTGATTTATAGAGGTGCTTGTATAACATGAATATTACCACCAATCATTAATTTCCTAAAGAGTGTTGTTAATGGCTGATCATGAGTGTTTGTAAGTTGTGCGTGGTTTCTAATATGTTACACACTCATAGTAATAAGTGAATTAAAAGTTGAAATTGTGAAAAAAGTTTTAAAACCATTGACAGTATTCAAAACACTGCACGGACAACTTTTCAACAAGCAAACAACTTAATGAAAATATTTAACAATATATATGTATAGAACAATGTACTGTATTCCTACAATAATTCTTTTATGGAAGAGTTTAAAAACAGTTCAGTCTTTAAAGGCTTAAGGCGGGGACACACTTGTCATACACCCTTCCGATCCGACTCCGATCATACTGTGGTACGACTGTCGGAGAGGGGAATGGTACTTAACTTTGAACGCGGCTGTTTACACCTCTCCGACACGCGTCACGTCATACTCCGATCCTACTCCGATTTTGACTCCAATCACGCACCGACACTGCAGTCTATTCGTTTGTCGGATGCAGGACGGGTTGTTTCTTAAAAATCACCTTTATTCTTAAGGTTTAAGAATATTGGTTTAAGATAAATGTATGCCGATGCTTGATGTGAAATCTGGGCGTGCATATCTTCAATTTGAGACCTCGATCATGAAAATCGGACGGGTAGAAGAGCCAATCGAACTCGAGAGAGAAAACCCAATGTGTTTAATATACAGGGTGTCCCGGAACTCTCTACCAATATTTTAGGGCATTGCTCCTGGGTAAGAAACATACCTAAATATCATGTTTAAATTGTCCGGAAGTCCTTAGTTACTCACACAGCCGCCATTTTGTTTTTTTTCAGTTATTAATTTTTTTTTTTGAATAGTTAAACATACGAAATGGAAACTTTGCACAAACATTTATGACAACTAGACAAAGCTAGAAAAAATTATGACGATTTTTCAAATTTATAAAACAAAATGGCGGCCATTTAAAATTTTTGTAAAATCAATGGTTTTTGAGTTATTTAAGAAACAAAATTTTAAATGGCCCCCATTTTGTTTTATGAATTTGGGACTTCCGGACAATTTAAATATGATATTTAGGTATGATTCTTACCCAGGAGCAATGCCCTAAAATATTGGTAGAGAGTTCTGGGACACCCTGTATATGGGCACTTAACTAAACAATCTAACTTTCATTCCATGCAGAATGGACCCAAATTCTCCGTTTTCCACTGCAAACCAGAGGTGTCTGACTTTCTTCCTCTTCATCTAGACAAACCGCCATCATAGCTGAATCCCGAAGTCCAAAGTTTTTGACATATTTACCACCTTCTGCACGTAGTTTACAAATCAGACTGGCGAGTGTTGATCGGTGGAAGAAATCGGAGACGGGTCGGAATCGTGTATGACATGTGTGCTCATCCCCTCCGATCCCGCACCGATCCCTCTGAAATCCCGCAAATCGGATCGTAGTAGGATCGGAACAGTGTATGACAAGTGTGTCCCCGCCTTTATTGCAGAAAAAAAGGTATATCAAACAACAAATTAGATGATTTAAGTTATGACCATCACATATACAACATTTTAATTTGTCTGTAACTAAAACTGTGTAGGCCTAATGGATGAGTTAGTAATAAAGAATAAAATAATAAATTTACTTTCAGGTAACGTACAAATTATTTTTTCAGATTTACAAATAGACCTAAATATGTATTACCATAGCAGTGATGGTCAAAACCAGAAATTTTTAATCTCAAAACTGAAACCGAAACCGAAACTTTTAAAAATCGAATCCCGAATTCCCATAACTGCAATAATAAGCATTTTATACTAATATGCTAACCCCGTACGAAGGACGGGTACTATGCTAGTTGTTAATATAAGTAGCAAAAATTAATTAATAAATTGGAATAAGTTTAATAGGGTACCTAGTATAATAATTCAGTCAACAAAACATATAAAGTGGTGTAAAAATTAGTTATTTAAATTGACTATTAAATGTGTAGTATGTTGTTAAATTGTCCATTTATAATTTATATACATGGATGCATCAATAATTAAGAAAACCGTTTGAAACCTTAAATATGATTGAAACGTTCATAAGTTTAAACTTAATTGGTCACTTGAACAAATACTATCCGAGAGAAACGAAATGGCTGATCATATGCTGTAACAATGGTATATAATTTAATCTTTACTCTTCTATCACTGATCGTTGTCCTAAACTGATGGCTTTAACAAAGAAACATATTAGAACTGAGTAAACACAAGGTTTAACAATTATAAAAACACATCAAGTCTTTATAAACGTAAATCAAGTTCCTTGTGCTCGTACACCAATCTTCAAAGTCAATAAACTTATAGAAATAAGCGAGATTCTTGCTACAAAATGAGTCCATTCTGATCCAAACAGACTATGCCTCACTTATACTTGACTATATCACAACAACCAAGGGTACGATTTTATTAATTGATAAAGCGTGTCAGACTATGGAGAGTTAACTGTACTAAGATCAATACAATTAATTCTCCTCAAGAAAAAATATCTTCTAAACGATGATGATTAACAAAGCTATTTCTTCACATTATGTTTCTTAAAAGCTAGAGTTATGGTAAGTTTTATTGGCTAAAGTTTAAAAATTGGTACTAGTTATAAAAGTGTGTATAAAAGAGAATGTATATTATGAATACAAAGTTATTAAAATCACTTATTTTAGTTAACTTCCATTTATGTTTATATTATAAGGGTACAAACAATATTTCATATTTTTCAAAAGGTTCTTTTTCCAATAAGGCCAATGGTTATTGTCATTAAGAATCTTTTTGATGGCTTTGTCCAATATTTATAATTAGAATAGGACAAGAATGTTTTTCACCTTAAAAAATAGTAGACAGAAATACATTTTGCTGTGTTTAAAATTATTGGAAAACTAAAGGAAATAACTATAATGTGAATAAAACATAAAGTAAATTATGAACACCTTATGTTAGGGCAAAACCATTACTGTTTGAGTAAAAAAAAAAACTATAAAAAATGTGTCCCCCTAAAAAACATAAACTGTACAAGGTTAGAAAAACTAGATTTAATTAATGTATTTATAAAGGTTTATTGTTTAGAGTGGTAAGGCTATTATTATGATACGTAAGACATCCATAATAAATACAAGGCCAATCAACAATTTTGTATTTGAAAACTCAGGTTTTTTTAAATACTAATACTGTATGGAAATATTATTTACCTACGACCGTTTTTTAAACTAGCCGTTTCAGTTCAGTTCTTAGAATTGAAAAGATTCACATAACAGCATTGTTAACTTACTTGGAACATTGTTTTTTTACTTAACAACACAGGTAATGGACCAGTGAGGTTCAAAGATTGTGAGAAAATAAGTAAAATTGTAATGCGTCGAACTTCAACTAATCAGCTGTTCAGACCAATTTAATTGTTAATGAAAGAAGTGGTGCAATTAGCGTTTGGTACAATGATTTCTTGCATCACTGTCAGTTACAATGAGAAGTTATAAACAAAAACATAACCTCTCTTAGAAGTTATGAGTACCGTAGTGATTGAGTTATTAAAACACTGTTGTAGGTAAAGTAGTGTACGCAACTAGGGTAAATAGTCATAACCCGATTGTTGCGTAAACTACTATTAATTATTAAAGGATTAAATTTCAAGGCATGATGTGGCCTATATAAGGACACAGTGAAGTATGGTGTCTCATCAAATAGTTTCATTTTGATGCTAAAATATTTGTTAAAACCAACAATAGCATTTTGGATTTAAAGTAAAGAGTTACAAGTAGTAAAAAGGTTTTAAGACACAATGTAAAAGTAGATTAAAAATCCCTGCTAATGAAATTTTTGTTACTTGTTCCAAACGAACATGCAACTACGAGGTGAAAAGTTTGGACTAGAGTGATATGGCCACTAAATACAAAGCTTAATGAAGCAAACCGTTGTTGATTCTGAAGTGATTTCTACACAATAAGATCACATCATCTCATCACAACTTGATTGACATAGACAGTATTGACACAATTTTAAGTACCAAGGTTCCAACTTTATGGGTTGTAAACAAACTCTCATAATACAAGTAATGCAACGATTTAAAGTTTCTCTTACAGTAACCAATGAATATAATCAGTAATCAACTATTACTCACAAAGTAATATTGTTGACTGTAGGCAAGGCTGATCTATAAACCAGAACCTATAGGTATCACAGCCTGTTACTCGATGATGGGATTTTTTCTTATAACTGTTTATGGTTGCAATTCTTAGACCTGCAAGATAAAATGTAGTTTAAACAATGATAAATATAAAATACTTAAATTTAAATGACACTGGTATATTAATCCATGACAAACTATTAAACAGAATAAAGACCTAACTCAGCTACGCAGAACTCTCATTGAACCACAAACTTGTTGCGTTAGAATCCCCTAATGTCCACACCAGAATCTAGAAGAGCAGTTGTTGCTCGGCTGGAGGGCTAAACAACACCTGCGGTAGGAGTGAGAACTGACGTTACTACACTGTTGTATTAAATTTACCATTGTTGTTGTTGCCTGAGTTCTTGAGTAGGTAAGACGTTTGTGTTCTTCTCTTTTTGATATTCTTGTTTATTTAAGTGTTTAAGAGTTAAATAATGGCCGTGAAAATGTCCATTACGGAAGGTCTGTTGTGAATACAGACCACATAGGCCTAAGGAAAAAGATTTTCATGCCCAGTTTTAACCCGGCTAACCCCTGCACTTTACCCTCTATCATTGCATTCGGGCCATAACGATCAGTCATCTGGCGATGAATGTCAGCAATGGATAGGTTTTTGTGGTATAAAAACGAATCACTGACATTATATATCAAATATGGTAGGAGATTCAATAATTTTAAAAATGTTTAAAACGTACAGCGAAGCGTACACGTCAGCTCCAGAGCTGAAAGTTGCGCTGTTCTGTTCACAAATGATGCCAGTAAACGTCGAGGGGACTCATTGCAGCATATACATGAACTAAGAAAATATACGCACAAACGGCCCTTTCTTAAAATACCACCCCTTGCATAATTCTGGTGTTGACTAGGTGGCTAGCAAACTAATTAGAAAGAGAATGATATGTTGTGACAGAGTATTAAAATTGCAAAACCTACTACCTGATATAAGAGAGTGGGTGTGACGGACTAAGTGGCACTAAGACCATCTTAAGCTGAAACCAACATGAGTCGTGTTCAACAAACGCTTCTCTCCTTTCCTCTTGTGGAAATCGTACCAAGCATGTATACTGAGGACAAATAACACAAAAATCCATCAATCTTTGGCAACATAACTAACTGAGCAAACAAGCTGTAGAGAAAATACCTTTGAAGCAAACCTATACAGAGTAAGTGAATTTCTATACACTTTGGAATATTTTTATTTAGTTCTATGTTGAGTGTTTTAATTTCTTGTAATATAACCAGGGGACGACCTATTGTTTATGATTAGATCGTTTTATTTTGAACAAACTAGGTTTAAAAATAACTTAAATAAAAAGAATTGTTTTCAGCTAATCCCTAAGGATGACAAATCTACTAAAGGAGTACCCTTTAGGTATGTATGTTTAATAACCTTTAGGTATGGTATGTTTAATCTATGGTATCACGTACTGTTATGGAGTTCATGTTTTGGGGCCTGAAATCGGAATCAATGGATATTCTTTTTTGCAGTAATGCTCTGTGGGTTGGATTGTTTTGTTTCAGTCCCACAAGCGTGAGCATTTGCCAAAAGCATAATATGTACAAAAGTGTTTAAGACGGCATTTTGTTAAGACTAACCAAGACAATTCTTCAAAAAACTTACAATGATAAAATTCCGACGAGGAGTGGTGTTCAAGCAATTAACATAGGCCTATAGGCATGATATAGTTTTTAATAAAGGTTTCTAGGAAAGAAACTGTGACCAGACTAGGGGGGCGGAAAAATTATTTGGGCCTAGGGGCGCCAAAATGCTAAATCCGGCCCTGCCCATAGCCACTGGGCGACAAAATCTCAGCACTGGGCGACAGTTGTGTCACCCAGTTAACATGTTATTTTATGCCCTAACATAAACCCTTCTTATCATAACATCAGTTTGAATTTCTGGCTTGAGCTCACATCATATAAACAAAATTTTCCATAGACTTGGTCAATTTGTCTGGTTTGGTTTGGCTTAGTCACATTAGGCAGCAGAATTTACTGTTTCAGTTAATAATATATGAGTTTAAACTGGAAATAGCCTATGGGGGGTAGCAACCGGATTATGATCCTAATTGCCTTATCGTAACAGTTTATACTATTACTAAGTTAATTTGAAATATGGAAAGTAATAAGTAAAAATACTCTTTTTGGGATGAATAATCATTTCCTTTCCATTCTAATTCACCAAATACTTATTGAGCTGAAACAAAAGATGTACCGGTAATAATAGGTGACGACATGTGAGCTTACCAAAAGAATATCTGCAAGTACGAGGCGTATCCAGCGAAACCATGCCACCAAGCATGAAGCTGTGTCAGAGCACCGACCCCGGAAGGAACCCTTCCTCGGAAGTTACTTAAACAGACAGTAAACATTTTAGTCATTTACGAAAATAGAATTATTTATTTATTTTGTTTATTTAAGTTAACCTGACATGATATATTCAAAGCAGTGCTGTGAATTGGTTTCCTAAACAAACCACCACAAACATTGTTGGGATTAAGTTTCTAAAATGTAAACTACAATAAGGAAAAAAGTAAACTACTTTGTGTTTTCATAAAAATATGCAGTTGAGGAAAATTATTCATTTACTAGACATTGTATTGCAAATCCATCTTTGAACAATAGTGAACATTTTGTTAACATAATTATAGGCCTATTGTAAATATTTATAAATTTATTACTTATATGAAAAGAAAATAGTAATAAAAAACCTGGAAATAGGAATTAAGTAAACGTTTAATACAGGATTTAGTAGGTTAATAATAATGTAAGTTTTAAAACTTTTTATCTGGTATTGTGTCACCAAACAAGACATATATTGTGGCAAAAAATTAAATTAGTGACAGAAATATTACTGCCATAATAGATTCTTTAAAAAATTAATGGATTTTTAAAATTCACAAACAGTTGCCGGTTTTCCTATTTTTTCAGGTCGGCTGGACACCCTGCATATTTTCTAGGTTAGCATAATGTGATAGTAAAAATTATTTGTGACAATTTGAAACATTTTAAAAATACACAATATTACTTAAATGACAAAAATCATACAGTATGCATTTGAACAGTATGACAGATATGGATCACTTCATAACGTTTCTGTTTGATAATAATTTTAGACTACTATTGCATTAAATTGGATTTTAATATGATACTCATTATTAAATAAATACTGTGTCAAATCATTCACTTACTGGTGTCCAAATACCACCAGTTTTAAGTGACTAATCATGATTTTAACAATAAACTTAACAAACCCTTTTAGTTACATGTATCAGACAAAATGTCAGAACTTGAATGTAAAAATCCATCTGTTTACACTAACTAGGTTACTGCTCTCAGTGGGTAATACTTACTCCTACACTAACTAGGTTACTGCTCTCAGTGGGTAATACTTACTCCTACACTAACTAGGTTACTGCTCTCAGTGGGTAATACTTACTCCTACACTAACTAGGTTACTGCTCTCAGTGGGTAATACTTACTCCTACACTAACTAGGTTACTGTTCTCAGTGGGTAATACTTACTCCTACACTAACTAGGTTACTGCTCTCAGTGGGTAATACTTACTCCTACACTAACTAGGTTACTGCTCTCAGTGGGTAATACTTACTCCTACACTAACTAGGTTACTGTTCTCAGTGGGTAATACTTACTCCTACACTAACTAGGTTACTGCTCTCAGTGGGTAATACTTACTCCTACACTAACTAGGTTACTGCTCTCAGTGGGTAATACTTACTCCTACACTAACTAGGTTACTGCTCTCAGTGGGTAATACTTACTCCTACACTAACTAGGTTACTGCTCTCAGTGGGTAATACTTACTCCTACACTAACTAGGTTACTGCTCTCAGTGGGTAATACTTACTCCTACACTAACTAGGTTACTGCTCTCAGTGGGTAATACTTACTCCTACACTAACTAGGTTACTGCTCTCAGTGGGTAATACTTACTCCTACACTAACTAGGTTACTGCTCTCAGTGGGTAATACTTACTCCTACACTAACTAGGTTACTGCTCTCAGTGGGTAATACTTACTCCTACACTAACTAGGTTACTGATCTCAGTGGGTAATACTTACTCCTACACTAACTAGGTTACTGCTCTCAGTGGGTAATACTTACTCCTACACTAACTAGGTTACTGCTCTCAGTGGGTAATACTTACTCCTACACTAACTAGGTTACTGCTCTCAGTGGGTAATACTTACTCCTACACTAACTAGGTTACTGATCTCAGTGGGTAATACTTACTCCTACACTAACTAGGTTACTGCTCTCAGTGGGTAATACTTACTCCTACACTAACTAGGTTACTGTTCTCAGTGGGTAATACTTACTCCTACACTAACTAGGTTACTGCTCTCAGTGGGTAATGCTTACTCCTACACTAACTAGGTTACTGCTCTCAGTGGGTAATACTTACTCCTACACTAACTAGGTTACTGCTCTCAGTGGGTAATACTTACTCCTACACTAACTAGGTTACTGCTCTCAGTGGGTAATGCTTACTCCTACACTAACTAGGTTACTGCTCTCAGTGGGTAATACTTACTCCTACACTAACTAGGTTACTGCTCTCAGTGGGTAATACTTACTCCTACACTAACTAGGTTACTGCTCTCAGTGGGTAATACTTACTCCAATGTAGAACATAGAGCTTTGTCAATATTCCATATGAAGAAGGCAAAACAAAACATCGCCACTGACATGATCAGTATTCTCTTGCATGTTTTGCACTTTTTTTGTCGAACGATCTGAGTTTCTTTAATCCAGGACCAGAGAATTATTACTCCATAGGAGGCGTGTTGGAACAAAGGCTGAGGCCACCATAAGTACATTACCGTAAACAGTATGGCAAAACCAAACAGGAACGTGAACAAGGGAATGTTGGAAAAGAAATGTTTATTGTAGGGTTTGGGTGCCTCATACCTGGAAGGAAAGATATAACAGTAGTTAATATACATGGTGTATTATAAAAGGTTAGAATGGTTTGGATCCTAATAACCACTTACTGAAAGTCATTTTCTGTTTAGTGAGTTCCTATTTTAAATACTTTATTATTTAATAAATGTTTAAACTAATACTAAAACAAAGACATGAATAACAACCAACTAGTTGGGGATGAATATGTCTTTAAGAGAGTGGTTTGTTTACAATAATTCCTATGATCGTGTTATATCTAGGTTCCGGTAGCTGAGTGGTTACCATCCCCCCCCCCCCAGCATTTAGTCAGTAACAAGTCTATCACGTCATTCAATCAGTCACGCAACTTTCCTTTATCTTTACCCCTTAAAATATTTCCCAGGTGTGTCAAAGTTGTAAATAAAATCTAATCTACTTCTAAAAGTGTCCAGGGACTGTCAGTTAATGATTGAGTTGACTTTAGATGCAACTCTGCCTTCACCATATGAGGTTAGAGTAGATTAGGTAACTTAACCTAACATATATGAAAACAAAAACATACACATTACATCTGAAGATATAACTAGGAAAATGTCAGTGTCTGGAGTAATATTTTGTATGTTTTTCCATCTGTTTATAAGAATAGTTTGTCCAATAGGTAAACCCTTTTATAATCCTGTCCACCACAATCCATTGTCTGTATTAACTAATGTAACATAGCTAGACAGGAATTGTGATTAATAGGAATTTTACCACATTAGTTTCTATCTTAAAGCCTGTTGGAGAGAGTGCCTACTGCCTATACCTCCAAGGTGGTTAGGAAGGATCAATCAGCCTACCTATATACACAACAAAACAATATGGTTCTATCAAGCGACAAGAACTTCACTATAATGGAGAACACTATTGGCTACAGTAACTGAGCATATTGCAACGTTTCTTTCACTAAATTATTTGGTATAAAATACTCACACACAATATAACAGGAACAGGGACCCATAGATCATTGGCAGTTCATCAAACAACTGCATTTCATACAGTAAAGTCATGTGGAAGCACCAGGACCCCACTCCTACAACTGTAAAACAACATTAAAAGATTTAGAGATATACATGAAATACTTAGACAGGTTGAAAAAATATCAATTTTCTTCAAAGTACTTAATACAAAAAGGTCTTTATTACAGATGCATACTTACCTGCTTGCATTCTTAACAGATTTTTACGATTTATGGGGGATATTTTTATCAATTTGTCGCGATCGCGAAAAACGATAACGATGTTTCCGTGACCCCGGAAGACGATGATGGTTTCAACATCATCGCGAGACAGGTTTTAGATTTTTCTTCTATCACGGTTCCTGTCTTCTTTATAACGATTCTTATTACTGTGGTCTTAAATTATTTCTGTGAGCAATTCGGATAATCGGCAAATCAGATAGTTGGAGTTTGGATAATTGGAGTTCTACTGTATGGTTATTTACTATGTTATATTAAATAGTAGGTTACAGTAAGTAATTAAATTTTACCAGCGGCTTTTATTTGTTTTAGCAAAGACTAACCAATTAACCAAGCAGATTTCTCATCCCATTGTAAATTTTAAAACTCATTTTTGTGTCTAGTTCAAGTACGTCAACACTGATCACTAGTGTCAACAAAATTTTGTTTCTATTATTTTAGGGTTAATTACATTATTTGTGTTTTACTGTCTTATTTAATGAATTCTTTATATATTTTGACATCACAAATGATGAGAAGTTTTGTTAAGTGTAAGCAGTGTGAGACGTGTTTTACTACTTACACACAGCCAAAACAAGTCACTCCAAAATCATTCTAAAAATAACACAAGACCGAAAAACTGTTACTTGATACTTAACTAGTAAGACTGATGTTCCAATCTGATAAATTTTGTATTTTTCAAAGTTGGAACCAATTCCTAACTGATATCACCATGATTCCTATGTGTAAGAGTGATTTTTAGTAACGTGGGCCTAATTAATATTTTTTTTTATACTGATGTTTTTAATCAAATATTTTAAATATTCTTGATTCTTGCCAATTATTATTATTTTTGTATTACTGATCTGTCATAAATCAGTAGGTATTTAACAATGTTACAAAATCAGGTTAAAATGTCAAACAAGCATTTCCCGTTATGTACGAGAGGGAAATTCCCATCTCTAAATTTTATAAGAAATAAAAAATCCTGTCCCGTCTCGAACTAAACATCCAATCTCGTCCATCCCTAACTGTAATGACCTTAAATAGTGTCACAGGTTGAACAAAAGATAAAATAATCTGATGACAAATGGTTTTCTTATTGCCTTGACATATCCATCAATACATAGCATATTTAAAAATTACTAAGATTTTGCCAAGTGGAGGTACGGCCTATAAGAAAAATCAATTCTTATTGTTTAAAGTTATTTTTTCTAATTCACTGTTTCTAACAGCTGGTCTTATTTTATATCATGTTTACTTTTTGTTCAGTTTAAAGAAATACAGTCCACTAAAAACATCATCTAGTTTTTCTCTCTTAATTATCTATCTACATCTATCGTTCAATCTAAGTTTATCCATCAGTATCTAAATTCTTTAATCATTTGGTCCTTCTGACCCGGAATAAATAAGTAATTAACAGTTATTTTTTCAATTCAGTTATAAAAGTAATCAAGAAAATTTCCTGTTCTCAGTTGAAGTTATGTCCCTAGAATCCAAACTAGGTCTTCAAGCAACACGCTTAAAAATCTTAGAAAAAGCCACAGACTATTTCAAGGAAAAGGATATATCAACTATATTGAAGCCTCAAGTACAAACCCGGATTGATGTTATCGAAGCAGAATGGAGGAAATTCGAGAGGGATCACGAGAAAATATGTGAGTCAAAAGCTGACATACTAAAAGACCTAGCCTACATAAATGAAGATCACTACAGTCAAGCCCTTGAAGCCTATATGGTAAGCAAATCTGCATTGCTTGTTCTCTTAGAAGAGTTATCGGTAAATTCTCAACAAAATCAAAGCACATCTGATATCAATACATCTAGTTCTATGAGTAAATCAAATCAACCTATACTACCTAAAATATCTCTACCTCAATTCTCAGGAAGTTACCAGTCTTGGAAACCTTTCCATGATCTTTTTTCTTCACTGGTGATCCAAAATCCTAACTTAACTGATGTAGCTAAGTTACACTATCTCAAAACCAGTTTGTCAGGTGATGCTGCTCAATTGCTAACCAATTTCCAAATAACAGGAGAAAATTTCATGCCAGCTTGGGAAAAACTTGTGACTAGATATGAAAACAAACGTGTTTTAATCAAAAGGCATTTGGATGATATATTTAATTTAAAACCTCTAGAAAATAAATCTGCTAGTGGTCTCAATCACCTCATGTCTACTATCAATGAGTCTTTAGGTTCCCTCAAAGCGCTAGGATCTCCTACAGATAAATGGGATCACATCTTGGTGTACATGATTGTACAACGACTAGACCCAGAGACACACGAAGCATGGGAGATTCGTTACGGAGTCTCAACAGAACCCTCCACCCTAGAAGATCTTCAGACCTTCATCGAAGGTCGTATTCGAGCCCTGGAAAGTATTGAGTCACGAGCAACACCACCAAGCGATGTAACGGTAACTACACTACAATGTAAAGGTAAACCTCATCAAAATCTTAAAGTACATTCAGCACAAATTGTAGCAAAATCTCAGTCCAATATAGGAAATGATTGTCAACTGTGTAGTAAAGATCACTATTTAGCATTTTGCAAGGAGTTTCGTGAAAAAGTACCTAGTCAACGAAAAGAGGTTCTTGTGAACAAAAGATTATGTTTCAACTGTCTTGGTTCACATTTGTTAAAGGACTGTCGCTCAAATAAATCTTGTTTACAATGTAAGAAAAGACATCACACTCTAATTCATGACGCTGTTAGCCAGACTACAAATATACCTCATATAAAAAAGTCAAGTTCTCTCATCCCTAACAAATTCATCTCATCTACAGATAACACATCATCAAGCTCACACGTCTCCTCTAATCACATGCTTCCATTTAAGGAAATTAATCGACAATCTGTGCTCCTAGCAACCGCTCAAGTTAAGGTAATTGGTCCTGAGGGAAATAGTGTTATTGCCAGAGCTTTAATCGACCAAGGATCTGAAATCTCTTTCATCAGTGAATACTTAGTACAAACTCTCAATCTGAAGCGTTCATACTCCTCAGTATCTCTTGTTGGTATCGGTGGACATCAAGCCCCAACCACTCGTGGTATAGTTTCAATCAATCTTAGTTCTCTGTATGATACCAAAGTTAGCTGCTCTTTATCTTGTCACATCCTTTCAAATCTCACATCAAATTTGCCATCGATAACACCAAATCATTCATCGTGGAATCATATAAAGGGACTTCAACTAGCTGATCCTGCCTTCATGAAGTCTGAATCTGTAGATTTAGTCCTAGGAGCAGACATCTACACGTCTATTATCCTTCCTGGTCTAATTAAAGGTCCACCCCTCTCCCCAGTAGCACAAGCAACAATTTTCGGTTGGATCTTGTCTGGACCTACTGGAATGACGGAAAATAAATCTACCTCATCAATGTTTCATTGCTTGATTGAAAACAAACTTGATGATTTTCTTCAAAAATTTTGGGTACAGGAAGAAATTCCTCAAATTAAAGAATCAGTCAAGTCTCCTGATGATCAAGTATGTGAGGAACATTATCAATCAACCTTTTCTAGAGAACCTTCCGGTCGCTATCAAGTCCGACTTCCCCTGAAGGAAACAGTCAATCAGCTTGGAGAATCTCAATCGTCAGCCTTTCAAATTTTAACAAAGCTAAATACTCGTCTCTCAAACGATCTTGAGTACAAAAACTTGTATACTAATTTCATAGAAGAATACAAGGACCTTGGTCACATGTCTGAAACTATTGAAGAAATAGATTCTACCATTCCCATATATTACCTACCTCATCATGGTGTTTTGCGTCCTTCTAGCACGACGACTAAATTAAGAGTAGTTTTCAATGCCTCATTCCCAACTAGTTCAGGATTATCTTTGAATGACGTACTCTACAGTGGTCCAAAACTCCAAACAGAACTACCTGATATTCTCACTTGGTTTAGGCGCTATAAATTCGTATTTGCCACTGATATCGAGAAAATGTATCGCCAGATTCTAGTACATCCTAGTGATCGAGATCTTCAAAGAATTCTCTGGATGGAAAATGGTCATCTTAGAAAATTTCAACTACAGACTGTTACATATGGGTTATCATGCGCTCCTTTTCTCGCCCTAAGAACAATGAATCAGCTTATCGTCGATCACGGTGATGCATATCCCCAAGCTAGTGAAATGTTGACAAGAGGGAGATATATGGATGACATTTTTGGTGGTGCAGACTCGATTGAAGAGTGCAGAGAAGTAGTAAAACAGACTGACGAGCTTTGCAAATTAGGTTGTTTTCCTTTACAGAAGTGGATCAGCAATGATCAAAATGTACTATCATACATATCGGAAAGTAATTACGAAAAAGGCAATTCCTTATTGATAAACAAATCCTCCAGTATACGTACTCTTGGACTTACATGGAATCGATTCAGCGACGATTTTCAGTTTCTTCCTACTCTAAGTCCAAAAGACAAATGCACGAAAAGAAACGTTCTTTCTCAAATAGGTCAGTTATTCGATCCCTTGGGTTTTGTCTCTCCTATTATCATAAGGTTCAAACACTTCATGCAACAACTTTGGCTAGTAAAAATTCATTGGGACCAACTTTTACCTAATCACTTGCAAGACCAATGGAAACTCCTTGAAGCTGACCTACAATATTTGCCATTAGTTAAAGTACCTCGTTATCTTGGTCTTACCCAACTATCTTCGGTAGAAATTCATGGATTTTCAGATGCTTCTAAGCTTGCAATGAGTGCTGTAGTCTACCTAAGAATCGTTAATCGTGAAAATATCACTGTTAGTTTAGTTATTTCTAAAACTAAAGTAGCTCCTCTCAAGACAATGTCGATTCCTCGACTGGAACTCACTGCTGCTACACTACTAGTAAAACTTGTAAAGTATGTTCGGAAAATGCTCAACTTAGAATCTACCCAAGCATGGTTATGGACTGACTCTATGGTTTCCCTAACCTGGATCACAAATCAACCTTCAAAATGGAAAGACTTTGTGCGTAACAGAGTAAGTGTTATACAAGAGACAGAACCGCTCGCTAAGTGGAGGTATGTAGCAGGAAATGAAAATCCAGCCGACTGTGCTTCACGAGGTGTTACTGCTAAAATCCTTAGCAACCATAAGCTTTGGTGGACGGGTCCTCCGTGGCTGAATAAAGATGTTTATGAATGGCCATCCACGACGTTTGATCCAGCTCAAGCAGCGAAATCTGAACTGCGAATCCCTCAATCAACTTGCCACATTTTAAACTTTGAACCAGAACCAGAACTGCTAGAGCGCTTCTCAACACTGTCAAAACTATTACGTGTTACTGCCTGGTGTCAAAAGTTCATTGCCAAAACAAAAAAATCCATCCATACGAATTGTCAATCTTTTTTAACTCCTCAAGATCTCAACTCATCCCTTTTGTTGTGGGTAAAACTCATTCAAAAACATGCCTTCAAAAATGAGCTTGCGCGGTTACAAAACAACAGACCTTTAGAAAAATCTAATCTTATAAGTCTTAACCCCTTTGTCGATAACACTGGTTTAATGAGAGTTGGAGGCAGACTTGAACAATCTTCATTAGAATATGATTCAAAGCATCCTTATATCCTTCCGAAGAATTCTTTAACTACTATCCCAGAACCTAATCAAGAAAACCAACCCACATCAAGACTTACTCGGTGGAAATTAACTCGCCAAATGTTGGAATCATTTTGGAAGAAGTGGTCTCGGGAGTACCTTCAACAACTTCAAGCAATATACAAATGGAGATTTCCTTCCTGTTCAATAAAACTCGGATCAGTTGTTCTTGTTGTTGATGAGCAATTACCACCATCAAAGTGGCCGCTAGCAAGAGTGACTGAACTTCATCCAGGTCGTGATGGACTTACCCGAGTAGCCACTCTGAGAACATCAAGTACCTCATTGAAAAGACCAATAGTCAAGCTTTGTCCTCTTCCAATTGAAGTCAGTGATTAATATTTATTGCTCCTTCGGTGCAATGGGGGGGAGAATGTTTAAAGTTATTTTTTCTAATTCACTGTTTCTAACAGCTGGTCTTATTTTATATCATGTTTACTTTTTGTTCAGTTTAAAGAAATACAGTCCACTAAAAACATCATCTAGTTTTTCTCTCTTAATTATCTATCTACATCTATCGTTCAATCTAAGTTTATCCATCAGTATCTAAATTCTTTAATCACTTATACATTATTAAATTAATAACGTACTTCATGTATTGTGGGACAAACTTCAACTATAGTAGTTTGCTCTACTATAATTGATTTCCCATTAATTTGATTTGAAGTCTAGTCCACACATGGAGACTGAGTCGGTCAACAGGACACATCGCTGGAGATAAATGGCAACACTCCGGAGACAGTCAGCAGACAATGTTTCCGCAGACAAATCGCCATGTGTGGACAAGGCTATTATGTTTAAATCAGTCAAACAAAAATATATGAACTTACTAAACACCAAAAAGTTGCATATGATAAATCTCTTCTCAAATCCTTGGTTGAAGACTTCAACAATGCCCCATAATGGTGGGAGTATAATCATAAGGTTGCTTATTGTGTTCCCTGTAAATAGCAACAGAAATTAAACAACAATGTAATAGATTGAACTAATACTTTATGTCAGCACATTCTCTACAAAATATTAGCCCAAAGATTGTGTCACGGGTGTAGCTCGTCATGGCATTTTATAGAGCCAGTAGCCATACTGCTAATCCACTGATGATAGGTACTAGTTTGTCAAATATAAGGTAAGAGCACTAATGTAACATTTAGCCTTTGGTTCACTTGTCCAGGCTTGCCGAAGATGACATGATGGCTCAGTTGGCTAAGGTATTGCACTGACGAGTGTAGCTCTGAGGTCTTTCTAGATGCGTAGTTTTGTTTCCCATTTACGTTTGGAATCCATATTATAAAATACATTTTTATAAAAATTGTAAAACTATAAACAAAATAATAAGTAAAAGCTTAAGTTATAAATCTTTGTCCCTAATAAACGCATACACACAAACACGTTCACTCTTTGCCATACCTAGGCCTAACGCACGCCATCCCACGGTCATCCAATCGAGGTAATAGGCTTTCAGCGCCAACGTCGGTCTGGAACGGGATTATATGCTCCTGATAGTGAGGTAGGGAGTTCCAAAGGTGACATGCTGTTACTGTGTAAATGATCTATTAAAAACTGTTGTCTTATGGTGAGGAATTTGGAGAGTTAATGAGCCAGAGCGGGTATTTCTTGCACCTCTTCCATTTAAAAATCTAAAATTGTTCGCGAGATAATTTGGAATTCTGAGATTGATGGCTGAATGAGTTATATTTATAATGCGTATTTCTCTAACGTCGGACAGTTTTAAAAGAGAAGAATTAATATTAATACGGTGTGACGTGATCATCTCGTCGTGGAACATTACAAAAATCTTATACAATAATTTTGAGCTCGTTGCAATTTTGTTGCCAAAGCCACGAGCTTCAAGGTTGCACCCACCTCTTACCCCCGGCCACTCGACTCACTGTGGCCCGCACTCATTTCGAGGTCATTGCCCAACCCCAAAATTATAACGAAATGAATACAGTAATTTGTAAACATATTTCATTTGTATTTTATTTAGCCTGAAATCAGCCGTAAGGAAACGTAAAATGATAATGGCACTAACCTGGTAATACTAAAAAAAATTTCAGCATTGAAATCCAAAGTTTTTTTATAAATAATTTTAATTTATTGAAGTTTTTTTTTGTCCCTACTTCAACCCACTTCACCAAGAAAAGCTTTCAATACAGCCAAACTGTAGGAAATAAAATCTAGTTTTCAAAAACACACAATGTTTATAGTCTAACTCTAAAAATATTTACACTATGTACAAAACCCTTACGTTGATCACAGACACCAAACACAACTAATTTTACAAACCTACATTGCCGGTCTGACAGCTGAATACATCACATATCCACTGGTACCTAAATAGTAAAAGTATTCGTCGCCTACAAACAAAGAGGTAGGCTACTATAAGCTTATGATTTCTACTTAAAAATAGAGAAAAATCATACAATAATTATTAAAATTACTATTACAATAATTATTATGCAAACGGTGAGTATTCAAGCTTGCTAAATGCCTTTTGACAGTTCAAAAATGGCGTAAATGCGTTGGAAAACCGACGTGTAACTTAACAGAGAGAGGGTTAAAAATTTAGGCCTACTTTTTAATGTTAGGTAGCCTAGATGTGTGTTTTAGTAAACTTTGACTCGGCCATCATTACAATGGTTTAAATCTTCAAGTTTTGTGACATGATGATGTTTTTACTAGGTAGGTACATCAAAACAGGTTATTCAGTGGGCCAACTTAGGTAACTTGTAGGAGCCAATGAATACCAAGGCAGTACGGTACTACTACATATTTTAACCTTTTTACAGTTTTGTCAATGTGATTCAGGATAAACAACACAGTACGAAGTAAACAAATGATTAAAACAAGTGTACTATTTTATTTAGAGGAAAATTGCATAGCCTAAGTTACTTACACCATTCTGCGACATAGAAGCTCACTTCATAATTTCTCTCGCACCAATCAATAGTAGCCGTTTGTTTTCCCCAGTATCCAATGATGTTTGAAGTGGGTGCCATTGCTTTTTTCAAATTGATTCTTTTTAAGTTACTTGTCTATCTGAAAGATATACAGCGACGTAGTAACAAGTATTGAGTTACTGCAATTTAATAGATATTATGTTTTAGGGTTTAAGTTACTGTTAATTTAATTTCAAAGAGAGCTTGTAAGTTAATTTAGGTACAAACAATTTTGTTGTAGGGTAGATACCTAAACAATTAAGGTAAGATAACTTAAGCTAATCAAGTTACAGTAGACTCCCTCTTATCCGGACACCTTTTAACCGGCCTACACTCGGCGTAAATGACATCTCTTTAACCGGACAATTTTTATCAGCACATCGGAATAACCGGACTAGATCGGCAGGAAGTGGGTGGTACTGAAACGACTGTTCTCGTGGGAAAGATTTGAAACCAGTGATCACGTGTGTAAATACAATGCTCTACTAAATTTAAGTCAAATACTGTATACAGTATGCATTTAAATGGTCCGTTTTAACGAGTTTTTGGGGACGTCGGTTTAATAGGAAAAACCTTTATCCGGACTGGCCTCGGTCCCGAGGAGTCCGGATAGGAGGGAGTCTACTGTATGTGAAATGTGACCTCTATAAGTTAGGCCTACTCTTACATGAAAATACCCAACATAAGTTAGCAATATTTTTGTTAATTAAAAAATGCAAAGAATTAAGTCAACTCATAATTGTAGAAACCATGGTACCTTAAAGCCAACAGTTTTAAAAATGTGAAACACTAATACCGTATAAGTTATGTGGGTTGTTTTAAGGCTTTAGCTTTGTGTCGGTTCTTACATAAACTTACCAATGAAGAAACGATTCTACAGAACCAAGGTCTCCTTGATCATTGGGCTTACCGGTAAATTAAGATGATCTTGGCTTCAGAACCAGCTGATCTTAGTTAGTACTATAGAAAGCTGACAATTAGCTTAACATAGGGCCTAATTCATTCAACACTCTTCTTCTAAAATACCGCAAGTTAAGTAATTTTTAAGCCTATGCACCCAGATGTGTCGGCGTCAATAAAAGAAAAATACATAGCCTAACTTAAGTTATAAATAAATTAGGGCCTATCTAGGTGACGTTCAACCATGAAGAATTAAATCAACACCAGGTTCTGATTGAAGGTAAACCTAATTATTATTTTATCAAAAAATTGCGTTACGATTTTCAGGTAAAAATCTATAATTAATTTCTAGTGATAGCCTAGGCTACATACTTAACTTAAACCGGCTGCACTTTAGTTTACGTCCTACACTCATTTGAATGAATATATCGATCGATATACTTAGGTATCGATTATTTCATTTGATGTATCAAGTTTGGTTAACTTAGTAGGTTAAAACCTAACCTAACTAACCGAATGAAATAATCGATATATCAAATAGTCTATTTACAGAAATTTGTCATTCAAATGTTCAAATTCCCAGAGTCATGTTCTCGTAAATAAATGACCAAATAAGTTAGCCAATGTAGGGCTAGCCTAACATAGCCTAGGCCTAGGTTTAATAGCCTATCCTTACTTAAAACATTACAAAAATATCACTTATAGAGAAACTTAGACCTAATAAACTGGTCACTGTAAGTTAAGCTAAACGGAATTAATACTCAATAAATTAAAATATCTTTGTTTGCTCTCTTGGAGAATAAGATCAGTCTCATGGGTCATTACCTCAATCGCATGTTACTAAATTAGATAAAGAAAGAAAGATAACACTGTCAACTGTCGAACTGTCACTGTCACTGTCAGTGTCAGTTTTTTTTTTTTTTTGTTACCTTAACGAGCACAAAATAAACATTCTTTCAATCGACACTAAACACCCTGATAACTGGTATTTACTCAGGGGAGGTATAGATGAGGTTACGATGACAGCTTTGGGCTTCTCATTAGCAGAGGGAACACCATTACCGTAACAATCACGGCCGCCTTTAACTAATTTTTTTTTAGAATTATTCCTATTATTAAACTTTTTTATATTATTTTATTATCAGCAAGTTTGGTTAGTTCGGTTAGGTTATGATAGTAATTTTATAATAAAAAAATTATAAAATTGAATTTGAGGAATTTATAATTTTATTTTATGAACAGAACTATTTTTGCGATTAGTAAACCTTCATTGCCAAAATATTCTCTACTAGAGCGCTGTTCGCGGAGGAATTTTGAACTAATGCCTCAATCGTACCTCCCCTAAGCCAGAGAGACTCCTCGCTTCTTCTTCTCCTAAACCTAAACCAAACCCAAAACCTAACCTAACCTCCTAAATCTCAACTCTAAAATAAAATATTGCATTTTTGTGTCTCTCTCAACAAGACATTGACGCAGGAAAAGTACCACTAGGTTCAGTTAATAAATAATATATGTATAGGCCTAGTACTTATTTAAAAAATAGATGATTAAATATGTTTACTATTTATTTCTAGTATAAACCTTAACGTTTGTTCTTAATCAACTTTATACGCATTCAACTCAACTATGGAGTTCATAAAAGCAGGCAAGTTATGCTATGTCTTAGTATTATAGCTGTATTTAAGTTAAGAATAACTCATTTTATCATACTACTAGCAGAGTACCCGTCCTTCGTACGGGGTTGGCATATAAGTATCAAATGCTTATAGCAGTTATGAGTGAGGACATGGTTTAAGAAATTTAGGTTCTTTTTGAAGTTTGTTCGCTACGCTCACTCACCTTTAGGTTGGAGCTCGTTCGCTGCGCTCACTTTCCTTCAGGTTAGCTCGTTCGCTACGCTCACTTGCCTTCAGGTTAGCTCGTTCACTACGCTCACTCGCCTCCAGGTTGAAGTTCGTTCGCTACGCTCACTCACCTTTTGCTGTTGTCATAAATGTAAAAGAAATAATAGTGCTAGTGCTGCACCCTGTTGGTAATCCTTGTAACTTTAATAATATTGAACATTATTATTATTATATATTATATTATTATTTGTTGTCATGAGAGCCGAAGCCCCCTGACTGCTTACCCGGTACCTATCCTACAGGACATACCCGGGCCCCATGATGTAGGCCGAAGCTTACGCATCAACCTTTAGCACATCATGGGCGGATGACTTAAGGTCATCAGGCTCGCCGGCTGCCGAAGCAGACCCTTCGGAAAGAGGGTTGCCCCTCAATCCTAACCAGGGATTCCGGCTGCTTGTTTAAGCGTCACTCCACCTGGGTTCCACTAGGTCGGAACCTAGAGGTCCGGTCCATAGTAGAGCGCCCCGACGCATTTAGTGCAAGCAACACTCGGGACCTATCTCATCCCTGACAGGCAGAACCCGCCATCAATAGCCAGGAGGAAGGGGACCATCAGCACGCTGACGATATTATAGGATATAGGACGATATTATTATTATGATTATAGGATGCTATTGAACATCACAGAACAGAACCAACTTGTTTAATTGAAACAGCTGTTAACCCTTTGAGTGCCGGAGACTTTATGTCAGGTACTACACTAAAGTGCCATGTGAGTTATAACTAGGCCTACCCAAAAATGCCGGGCCCTTTTTGTGGCTTTTAGCAATACTTCAGTATAAACGCTATAACTTTTTTATTTATCAACCAATTTTATTAATTTTTTTTTATTTACAGAGAAATAACTACTCTACAATATAACACAATTTATAAGTATATTTCATGCAGCAGGCAGTGTGAAAATGATGAAAAATACATACCTTGAAAAGTTTTTTCAAAAAACTTCCATATTCAATGCTGTGTATCATGTGAGAAAAAAATGTTTCACTCAATAAAACTCATACCACTCTGTTTTATATTTAACTGCCAACAAACATTCCAAGTTTCATGAGAAAATAAAGTCAAATAATGAGGTAACAACGTTTTTAGTAATATCATACATTTTTCCTCGGCAGCACAGATATCACACACTAAAGTCATCATGGCCTCATAGTCCTATTCTACAAATAATTTGGCCTAAACTTATATACAATAAATTATTTTAGTGCCAAATCTGAATGATAAAATAATAAAAAGTCATTTTGAGTAAAATAATAACATACAAAAAATATTTACAATAAGGCGAAACTGTTGGCGAACATATTTTAGCAATGATGTTGAGTGACACACTTATGGTGCAATCCTTTTTTGCACCTTTTGCACATAAATGTGGATTTCTTTCTCCTTCCACCTTCTCTTGTACTTGCTTTGCTGCAAACACAGCAGTTTTTTTCCCGGTTTTCTGGAATTTTTTCGACTAATGGGCTGTCTGCGTCGCCACCACCACGGGAGATTCTGGTCGGAGTTATGTTAGTTATGTCAGTTATGTTGGGTCTCATTTCTTGGATAACTAACCATTCTTTGGCCAGTTCCTCTACAATAAATATACTGTAGGCCAGCCTGTTCATTGGTTTATCAGTGTTAAGTTTGTACAGCAGGTAGGAGTTGAGGAGCATACGGCTAAAAATATTAAACGTGACCTTCTTCCAAAATTTTAAAGTTTTTCTGTCATCTAAGTATTGGTAAAGCATTTGGTCACAGCCATCTACTCCCCCCATGAAGTCATTATAGTTTCTAATTACTTTAGGCTTATTTGTGACATGAACTGACGTTCCCCTTACCCTTGCCCTTCGCTCACTCTCTGCTTTGCCATTGGTTGTTAGTAATAGGACTTGGTTTTTCTGTGATTTTTTTTGCCTATATCCTACCATTAAGAGGTTGTCTTTCCTCAAATACTTTTTCTGCCCTACTTCAAATTTCTCTTTCATTACTTCTGGTATTCCTTTTCTTTTCTTTTGCAATGTACCTGTGAGGTTCGTTGCCTGAGTAAGCAAAAACTTTGCTAGTTTTATTGTGGTAAAAAAATTATCCACAAACACGTGGTACCCCTTGCCAAGTAAGTTTGTCATCATCAGTAGTTTCTCAACAACATAGAAACCAAGGCCCTTCTGTGTTATTTCCCTTTTGTCAGGTCCTTTAGCTCCACGATACACAAAGAAGGACATACAGTAGTGTGTGACAGAATCACAAATGCACCATAATTTAACGCCCCACCGATGTCTCTTTTTGGGCAAATACTGTAACAACTGGGAGTGGGCCTTGGTGCTTACCATGCTCTCATCAACTGAAAGGTTCTCACTAGGAGTAAAGTGAAACCTAGATACCCTATTCATGTGGTCAACTATTGGTTGAAATCTAGCGCACGGGTTATACCCAGGTTCGCGCGGACGAGGCAGTTCTGTTGTGTCAACCAAGTGGAAAAACTGAAGGATTGCTTGAAATCTGTTCCTATTGAACATTCTTGGAAACCAAGGCATAAACTGACTGCTAGTCCTTGACCAATAGCAAAATATTGTAGGTTTTACATTTAGGCCCATATTTAGTAGCACTGCTACAAAAGCCTGCATCTCGATTCGAGTTACCGGTCTCCAGGACTTGGCCCTGCTATGTTCTTTGAGTTGGTGGGCATTTGCAGTAATAAAATTATCAGCAAATTTGTTTGTATATTTTACTAGCATATCAAACAAAGCAACAGTAAAAAATAGTTTGAAATAATCTATTGGAGATGAATTCCTAGGGGGGCAGTGTTTCACGCCAGACAATTCATGAAAAGTAAACGGATTATTGCCGCCAGGGTCATTTTCTTCATTTACTTCTGTCCAACCAGTTCCATCCTCACTATCCTCATTATTTTCAAGATTTTGTTCTTGGTTAGGTGCATCTAACCTAGGTCTACCCCGACGTCTTGGTGCAGGGTTTGGTGCTGGCATAGGCCTAGGATTGTCCACTCTATCCTCCTCCTCATCTGTTGAATAATTATTATTACCAAAGGACTGTAATATCCTATCTATCCTACGTTGATTGTTACCTTCATAGGGGTCGTAATCGGGGTCACTATCGGTATCATCCACAAGATCAGAAATTGAGTCACTGTCAGATTCGGCACCAGAACTACTTTCAATTTCAGAAACCTCACTCACAAAACTATCATCTAAAAAGTCGTCATCTAGAGTTCTTGCAATTGCATTGTCACTTAGTGGAGATCTAGATCGATCCATTACTAATAATCAATAACAAAACATCTCGTAAAAACACCGCACATAACCAAAAACTTGTTTACAGACAGTGAAATACGATGTCAACAATTACGCGCCAGCTGTGACAGCCATCTTGATCTCCGTGTTACAACATATGAAAACGTAGTACTATAACAAGTGAATGATTACAATTATCGCCGATTCAACGCATTATTTACAAAGAGGAAGTCTTTCTCTTTCAAAAGAATATAAAATATGTGCATATAATCGTCTTTTTCGCGTTTTAATATCGCGTTTTTCAAACGTCCGGCTAACCGGACGTTGGCACTTTTGGCTCGTTCTGAAAACGTCCGGTCACCCGGACGTTGGCACTTTTGGCTCGTTCTAAAAACGTCCGGTTCCCCGGACGTTGGCACTCAAAGGGTTAAGATTCAATAATTTCATTTCTCATAAGGTTAACATGGGAAACTCCAGAGCCACTGGGGCGGAGCCCGAAAGGATTTTTGGGATAAAAATATGCCTATATGTTAATCGGGAATGTGAGCTATCATCATGCCAAATTTCAGCCCGATCCGACCAGTAGTTTTCGCGTTAACTTTTCCCATACACACATACAGACACCACCTCTTTTTTATAATAGTATAGATAATGTTGCTATAATCTACATTCAATACCTTCTTGAGTAGGGCTACACTAATTGATTTCACCTACCTTAACCAAATAAGTTAACTTACAATTTAGTCAAGCTTAAGCCTAAAGCTACCTCCTACCACTATAAGAATAGTTACCACAAGGAGGGCTCTCCTTAAATTAAGGTCTCAAATGAACTCCCATTGTGGCCAAGTAGGCCTAGCCTAGGTCGATTCAACCTACAACCTAGGTACTGTAACTAGCGTCTAGACTGCCAGTGCAACTCCGAGGATCGTGGATTAGAGGCGCTGTGGCACCACCGCACCATGTCGAACGCTTCCGAATCATACCGGCGCATCAGCATAGCCTATCTAACTGATCGCGGAAAATTGTTATCTCTATCACATTCGATGTCAAAATGTATAATTTGTAGGTTCAATTTTAATTAAATATAATTAAACTGTCATAACCTAACCAAACTTGCTTAATGATAAACTCGAATGAAGGTTTACCAATCGAAAAAATAGCTCCGTTCTAAAAATAAAATTATAAATGTCTCAAATTCAATTTTATAATTTTTAAATTATAAAATTAAACTGTTATAACCTAACCAAACCAACCAAACTTGCTGATATGAAAAAAATTGTTGACAAAAAGTTAGTGCTACCAGTGGGATTCGAACCCAGCACCTTCAGATTACCAGCCTGACACGCTATCCACTACACCACCTAGGCTCATGACTCAGCTCCGTATCGTTGCGGTATGAGCGGTAATGGTTGATGTCACGCCATCGGCACAGAGTGGTGGTGGGGGGTTTTCCGATCTGATCCACGATCCTAGGAGTTGCACTGGCTGTCTAGATGCTTATAGGTACTGTATGTGATCAACTAGGCTACACATTCTTCCCATCATCCATTTGGCATATTGGTTATTATTCACTTTCCCCAACTTACGTAAAACGTCGTATAAGACGTTTTTAAACTGTTCCCAGACACCAACACTACAACTTTCTCAAATGACTTTTTTGTCGCTGAGACTTCCTGTAAGTTAAACACCATGCCTAAATTACTAGACACCACCTCTGAAAAACTCGCTTAACTTAAACATCGTGACAGGGCAGTTTACTATACTAGACACTTTACCAAGATTAATTGACTGCCCACATGACTAGACACCATACCTAGATTACTAGACACCAAGCCCAATTTACTAGACACCATAGCCTACCTAGATTACTAGACACCAAGCCCAATTTACTAGAGACCATACATAGATTACTAGACACAACACCCAGATTATTAGATACCATTACCAAGATTACTAGACACTATGACACAGATTACGGTTAGGTTAGGTCAATCTAGGTAATGGTGTCTAGTAGGCCTACCTAAGTTAATGGTAATGGTATCTAATAATCTGGGCAAGGTGTCTAGTAATCTTGGTAAGGTGTCTACTATAGGAAACTGCCCTGTCACAATGTTTAAGCGAGTTTTTCAGGCGTGTGGTGACTAGTAATCTAGGTGTGGTGTCTACAGGAAGCTTTGGCAACAAAAAAGTCATTTAAGAAAGTTGTAGTAAGGTGTCTAGGAACAGTTTAAACACGTCTTTTAGAACGTTTTAGGTAAGTTGGGGAAAGTGAATAGGTATTTCCCGGTATGGTTACTAAGTTAGCTCTTTGTTAGGTACTATTCTGCGAAGATAAACTTGAACAAAGTATGAATTGCCTTCTGTGTTTACATTTCCACCAAAACAGTGATTCAAGTTGATGGATTTGTTTTTGCCGATTTGCATGTTCGAGACTAATTTACCAGGGTTTAGAGTCATCCGTAGTACCGGTAGGCCTAAGTAGTCTTCTGGACATGTTTATCAGTTTGGCAATCTTACGTTCAGTTTGCATATAAAATCCCCCTTGGTCAATGCATCAAATGAGAGTGATGAATGACCACAGCCTCCCTACATCGAGAGAAGAACATTGTACAAATGTTTTTGACCCCCTCTATCCCTTACGTTAACTTAAGTTATGCTCATTATTCAGCCTACTTTAATTAACACTTCAACTGGTGATGAACTTAGGCCTTAATGTGTTGACTCCTTTGGACCACAGGAATTTGATGCCTTAAGCGAGCAGTGATTTCCCCTAATATTGGCTACCTAGACGAGGTTAGCATAGCAACTCGCTAGTAGAACAGTAGCGGATGAATCAAAGAACATATCATTGGTCTCAGATTTAAACTAGCTTCTTGGCCACGATGAAAACGCGGTGGAAGCCTTAATTTACGGACAACCCTCATAATTTGTGATGGAGTATAATGGAATCAAAAATCTAAGCCTGCATCAATGTTAGTGAAAAAATTTGTGAATTCCCACATAAGAAATTCTCTATAGGGAATTTTCCGTATGGAATTTTACAAATTTCCCATTGCCTATTAGGGAATAGCCTATTATAATTGAAGTTAGTTGGTTCCATGGGAAGACCTAGACTGCAGACTTATTCACTTTTTTATTTTGATGTCACCAAGGCCAAAACAACAAGGTAGGCTATAGCCTACTCTGCTAAGCTTGGCATAACATAGGTAGGTAGGCCTATAGGTCTACCGCCACCTGTAATTGTAAAACTTGAATTAAGAAATAATATTGGTCCAACACATGTGCAATAAACTGATAAGTAAATGTTTGTAAATCTAGTTTCATTACTAAGGGTATTTTTGTGTTACAGGTAGAGCTTTGGCAATCTGCAGGTGCTACCTCAATATTGGCAATAGCTTTTTGCATCAGCAATCAAATTATACTATGCAAACTAGATCTTTCGCTGCAAGAAAAGGTTATAGAGAACAAGCTAAGAAGAAAAAAGTTAAAACTGTCATTAAAAAACAAGCTTGGATACCACACAATCTGAGAAAAGGGACGAGGTGAGCATAACAATTTTAAAGCATGATATGCTTTATACAAATTTGTTATACAAAAATTATAGGTAGGCCTAGTCTATTTTAGTGATACTAAGCTACTACAATAGTGATACTACAATAATTGAATGATTCCACAGGAACTATTCTAGAAAGTAGGGATGGTCAAGTCTCGAAATTTCGGGAAATTTTAAATCTCGTTACACGAGACGAGATTTCTTTTTGGCCGAGATTTTTACCGAGACGGGAATAAAAAAAAAAAAAAAAAAAAAAAAAATTAAAAACGCCTGCAGAAAGTCAATGCAATACCCGCAATACAGGAGCGTGTTGTAGTTGCGTTTCCTTTGTGAAGGCGTTCTTATTTAATCAATTCTTTAAATGTAAATATTACTTTAATTATTTTAATAATATTACTTTAATAACATTTGAGAAGTTTTGTAAAGTGTAAGCAGTGTGAGAAATGTTTTATTACTATAAAAAGTCAATACAAGTAACTATTTTATAAAAATTAATATTGCTTTTATTTTATGATTTATTTTATTTTAGGATAAGTTGAACTCTATCCTAACTGATATCACTATGTTTCCTAATCGTAGGCATTTTTAATAAGTTAGGGGTGATTAATAAAAAAATGTTATGCTGATGTTTTTAATAAAAGATTGTAAATATTCTTGCCTATTATCATTATTTTTGTATTTAAAAAATCATCTAACAATGTTACAAAATCAGGTAAAAATTTTGAACGTGCATTTCCCGTTGTGTATGAGAAGGGAAATCCCGTCTCGATCTCGTCTCAAAATTTTATGAGAAATAAAAAATCTCGTCTCGTCTCGTCTCGAACTAAAAATCCAATCTCGTCCATCCCTACTAGAAAGACAATAGTTTACGGAAACATCACAAAAATTGTTGAATTGGTTATTGTTAAACTTTCCATAGAATATGAAACTTCCACTGCATGCAGTTCAAAGTCCAACATCTTTCATTTTAACTAGGGCTATTGTTGTTGTAAATTTAAACCTTTTTTATCTGATCACTATATAATCTTTAAATACTTATAATACTTTGTAATACTTTAATACTTTTCATTGAAATGGCGACCATACAAAGTAATTTTAAGCCAATGCCTTGGTATTTAACGAATTGATCTAATTATCAGGATAGTACTGCAGAAAGTCAAAGTACTCACTAGTGCGGACGTGAATCCACACCAGGGAGTATCGCATCAAGGCAACTGTTCTAGTTTACTTTTTATGAACATATTTTGATCAAATTTGGAAAATACATTCATTTCTTACTAAACTTAACATTTTACAACAAAAAATACTTTTTTACCCTCCCTGTTGTAGCAAACCTAAGTACTCGTTAAACTAATTCTATATAAATAGGGAATAAATGTGTTATTTTTAAGGAGACATTTTAGTGTAAATCCAATCAGGCAAATGGAAATTTGCTTAGCCTACAGGTTTGCTGCGGCGGGGGTATTATTAATAATTATGAAGTCAAACGAGGCGAAGACCGTGGGTAACAGCTAGTTATGATAACAGGTAATTTGAAGTAAGCAGCATCAAAAAGCTGTGATATACAATGAGAACTGTCAAAGTAGGATTGTTGACAGTAATGTTTATGTTTTTAATTGAATACATAGGCCTAGTTTCATTTGTGATATTGTGTGAAAGTTTTATAATTTAGGCTACTTTTTTATATTGTTTAGGTGCAGTAGTAGAACAGAATGGCTATTGTAGATGTTCAATACTATACTGTATATACTATACTACCTATCTGTAATACTATAGCATACCGTAAATATAAAGAACAAAATTCTCTCAAGCCTTAATCTATGCTAATTAAGCAAATGGCAATTAGCTTAGTCTGCAGGTTTTGCTGCAGCAGGGAATTTTACAGTTGATATCACTCTTGGATCCATGTTTCATTGCAATTTAATTTAAAATAACAAAATAAATCAACTATTAAATATTATAAATTGCCTAAATTAACCAAAATTGTTATCCTACCATTATTTCATATTTTTCCCATTTTGAACAGTTTCAGAAACATACTGTATAGGCCTAATTTAATTTTAAGTGTCTAAAACTTACGGTACTGTTTCTTAGTTGCTCTGGTGACCTGTTAATCAGAGATTTAACAAACTATTCTGTTTTTTCTCTCTGGAATATTTATAGTAATCCAAGGCACAATATAGCAAATGTTTCCTATCAACATGTTATCTATAGTGGGTGTCAGGCAATTGTATAAAGTGTTTAAAAGGACTAAACAGGTTCTGAAACACAACATGTTTTTTATAGCTAGACTAGGTACCTAGTATTTTAATCTTCAAAAAGTGGTATTGCAACTTTATATTTTTTACTTTCTTTATAGTGGAGACCGGGTTGTCACACATCAGAAGTCCCATGAGCATAAGAAACAGATTGCTCAAGACGATGTTTTTGTTTCTCGCTACTACGCTTGGAGAGTGTTCGACTTCAAAGAAGCTGTCAATTGTCACAGAGAAATCCATCATCCCACCATCTTGAACCTTCCTGACTCTCAAGTCAACTTGTTACTTGAAATGGACATGACAACAGCAAAATCTGTAAGTTGTGTTTAGCCATGCTTGATGTAGTACTAGGCTATTTTTCAAAAGTGGAAACATTGTAATCAGTAAACAACGGCCGACTGTTTTTGTTAAAATTATGAATGTATACCATCACTTTTTATGTATGAGTGAAAATTTAAAAACGTACGTTTTCAGGAAAAGCACTTTGTAAATTTTTTTCCCCTTTTTTCAAAACTCTTATTATTTTTTTATTTCATTAACATTTAAAGTTTCATAAAATGTCCATGGTAACGCAATATCTTTGGTAGTTTTTTTTTAAAAGAGCATTTTTAGTGGAAAAACACAAAATCCTGTCACGACCATAACAGACGTTTAAATGAATATTAAAAATAGTTAATACTATTTTTATAACTATGTTTTGCTATAAACTAATTTACTTTTATGACCATTATACAATAAAAAGGTCACTGAGCTTTTGGTATATTTGGTCTTTCTAGAAAAAAATAAAAAAACTCAAAAAATTTAAAAAAAAACAAAAAAAACTTTTTAAGTTTGTATAACTACGAAAAAACTTACCTGAGACCCAAAAAATCGTTATGTTTGTATAGAGGTTTGCTTCTTTTGTGTATAAAACATTGAAATATGACGATATTTTAATTTTTGAAATTTTTATGATAGAAATCATAAACGTGATGGTCAGGGACAAGCGGTATGGTCGTGAATTTTCTGAAATAATCTAAATCTTTCTAAACAATCATTCAATTATACTGTTAGTTATAATAAAAATATGTGTTTCAATTGAACTAAACTGTTCAATTTACAATTATATTAAAGTTATTGTCACGACCAAACACACTATAATCCATAAGGCTGGATTGGTCGTGAAAAAAACCGCGATGGTCGTGAATCTTTGGTCGTGAAATTACGTATTATTTGGCTCTGTTCTGATGGTAGCCCTGCACCTCATGTTCGAGGATACAAAGTGGACTTCTAGGTTAATCTAGCAATTGAAATATCTTATACACAAAAATTAACACCATGTCTACTTCATCGAATGACTACGTACGGTCATGGACACACCAAAATTACAAAAAACACAATCTTTCCTTTATTAATCTTGTTATTCCTCCTTTCAACTCGAAACGACCGGCACTACAATCCTGACGTACACCCTGAACTAGTCTCTAAAACCAACTGACTCCATCGACGCCAGGCTTGCCACTGTCGTGCTCCAAAGTTGAAAATTTTTCCCAAATGGTCGTGACGCCAAATCGAGGGACAGACTTATTTTGTCATGGTAGTCAGTTTGCAATGACAATAAAATTATAATATGCTCCTTTTTTGTAAGTTTAATAACCATTGATGACATAAAAATATGGCTTTATATATTTCGGCATGAATAATTAGTCTAAAAACAGTGTGAAAGTTGGAAAATGTACCCTAGGAACACGTCATGGTCGTGAATTTCGAGACTTTGAAAATACGAAAAAAATACCTAGAACCTATTTAAAACCAAATAAATGTGTGTAACATGTTGCCCCCGTCCCAAAAAATATTAAAACACATAATAATAAACTACAAATCCAGTATCTACGAAGTAAAAGGCCAGGGACATGAAAACGTACGTTTTTAAATTTTCACTCGTATACATGTATATGTATTTTATGAATGTACATACCTTAATCAAATTTTGGTCGGACCCCAACGTCAATCTTTAAAGCAGTATTCCTTCTCTACCTGGTTGGTAATGATGTCTGTTGATAGTTTTAACTCTTTTAACTCTATTAATTATTGTTAACATGGTTATCTAAACAATAAACAGCTTTGTTAGGCATAATAAATATTGTAGATGAAACTAATTATTAGTTTCATAATGATTAAAACAAAAAAAATTTATAATTTGCTCTTAAACTCATGTCCAACTAAATAAATTTGCTACTATGTCCCTTAATTACAGCAACATTGTTATCATGTCTCAATAATTCCGATATTTAATCCTATTTTCATAAGTTTATTTTAGATTTTAATCAAAAATTTGTTTTCATATACAAATAAATGTAAAACTTAAAAACATACTTTTAACTTCTACAACTTAAATTTTTATTGTTCTTTAGATTCCTAATTCCTATTACTTCTGTGTTCATCACTCAAACTGTCTCCTGCTTTTGAAGCACCGAGAGCAATAAAACATGACAGACACAATTCCTTAAAATCAAGATATCATTGCAATAAAAACTTTTTTCCAGACAAAGTTTGTGGATAAATTCAAGAAAATGGCTATCCTACCTCACATTTTTGAACAGGATGACCTGACAGAAAGGTCCATTCTTGTTTTCTGCAAAACAAATGAACAAAAGGAAGCTGCGATGGCTGCTGGAGCCAATCTTGTAGGTGGGAGTGAAATCATCAGAGATGTTGAGGTAATGGAGAAATTAGGTACAGGTACCTTATCAAAAAAACAATCCAAATGCTGCAGTTTTGGAGGGTTTACTATGCAACAGATAACAATGCAAACTATTTTTTCCAAGATGTAACGTAGAAAACTATCATAGTCAAATTCTGTTCCACAATAATGTGAAAGGAAATCGATTTAGGGACCAATAAGTTTTGGAATAAAAACAAGATCTACTGAACTTGTTGCAGTTACATAGGTGACTACAACGAACTTATATTAGGCCAGATTTTAAAAATTTTGAATGATATATTGTTCCATACATGAAATCTTAGCCAATGAAATGAAAATTAAATAAAATAAAATGTGTTTATTTTGTTTTCAATTTATAAAAATTATTTACAATGTCATAAAACAGCTAAAATTATAGCATAGTCAGTTAACGAATACAATATAGCTAACTACACACAAGGAGACAATACATATTTTTAATATTAAAATCAAATAATCTTATTGTTAAGAAAAATTCAAGGCATTTGGAATAATGGAAGTTATTAAACCCCATAACCAATTAAATCCAACAGTAATTTGGTCAATTTGCTAACTACTTAAATTAATAAGCGGCATTAAAAAAAAAAATTGGAAATAAAAAGGGTTGTTCAAAAGCCATTTGTAGAATTAAGATTCAAAAGTATTTTCAGGATATTTTGGTATTAAATGTAGGCCTATTAGCTTGTTGTGTATTTTTAGCGGGATTACAATATGGCTTTTAAGGGTTTTAGACAGTCTACAAAAATCTATGGTAGCAACGTTTTTACTCCTTGTATGAACATGGGAATTTTGTTTGATAAAGTTGGGATTTTTTAGAATATATGATACAAAGTCAAATGCATAAATGTTAATTAATTAATATTGGAATTTGTAGTTGAATGAACTGGGGTTTACAGTGTTCCTGTAAGGGTTCACAAGATATGATTCTAGAACTAACTTCTTTTTTAAGACTGAAATTTCCTATATCCTACCGCAATTTCCGTAAATGATAATATTGTATCTGAAAATGGATTGAAAGTAAGGAAAGTAGGCTGTTTTAATATAATTTTCCTACTGTTACCTAACAATGTACATGTTCTCTCCCTGATTTGAGAAAGCAAAGTGGCCAATTCGCTCATCAGTGAGACAATGTTAACATTGTCTCACTCTAATTACTTTGTCTCACTCCAGATTTGCAACGTGAAGGCACGAAATAGTGAGCGCGTAACATGCAGGCAATGTCGTATGCGCGTGAAATACTTTGGCAGCACTGGCTGTAAATCAGCTGGTCAGCTGTTGTACTGTTGTATTTGTCACTTCACATTAAATGTTATATTAAAAGTTCACTTCTGTGTAAAAATAGGTTATGTTTCTTCACCAATTTATTTGTTTTATGGTAACTGTAGGAAAAGTATAATGTGCAACTCGAGTTCAAAGTACATTTGCCTCACTCGAGAAACCATTCCTCACTCGCCTACGGCTCGTGAGTAAGGATTTCTCTCGAGTGAGTCAATTGCTCACTTTTCTCACTAGTTGCACAAATAACTGTTTTATCTATAAAATATATTAGTTTAGTTATAAGGCAAATTACCCTTCAAAGCTTAGAACTTATGTAATCTATATGAGGTCCCCAAGAAAGGGTCTTATCCAGATAAATACAAAGAAATTTAACATTGTCTACATAACCATATAACAACATATTTAATTCACACGGTCTAAGCCTAAAAACAAATTTTTTGAGTTTTATCTTTATTTAAGAGAAGCCATTAGATTCAAACCAAAAAGAAGCTTTATTAATTGAGTTTTGAGCTAATAGAATAGTTTAGCTGCACGCTCACTGGGTCGGTACGGGTTTAATTCAACAGTTAAAAACATTGAATTAAATGAGCATGCGCTCGCTGAGATGCCACAGCCGTCAACAGCATTCCGTACCTTCGGGATGTCCGATAGAAAGTCTGGAGCTACGAACTTAAGGACACTTCCGTGACAGCAGATCCGTCAGACCGATCACGGCTTTGGACTTTTGGTACGGCATTTTTAGCGTTTTACGCTGTCTGCTCTCTTGTTAATTGAAAATACAATTAGGAAAATGTCCTGGGTCTAGGTATTACCGTGCCACCTACGATAATAGCTACTTCCCTAAAAACACTAAAACTTGGTTCTATTTGAATAATTCATTTTGTTTGATTTTTATTAACTGGGAAAATATTTTCATTTCAGAAAGGAAAAATAGTCCTCCCAGACTTCCGATTTGTCATTGCCCACCCGAGCATTCTGCCAGAGATGATAAGCATCAGAGGTCTATTGAAGAGAAAATTCCCATCTTTGCAATTAGGTTTGTTTTATAAAAAAGTTAAAAGGTATTTCGAATGTGCACTTATTTTTGTCCCAAATAAAATTGAATGCTGGTTCTTAATATACAAATTAAAATACATCATTTGGGTGTTGCATGAAAAGCAAAAGCTCAGTCAGGACTAGAAAAACTATTTCTTTGATTTGGACATTGTGAAACAGGTACTTCGCCTATTTATATTGGAAATAGATTTTTCCTTCAGTCACCTGATAAAGTGGCCTTCTTTGTACTGATTGTAGCACAGAAAATGGCTAATTGTTGCATCTACTTACTTTTTCCACACACTTTTTACTTTTGCCGCACACCAGTATTCTAATTAAACAACACAAAACAGTGTGCTTTTATTAGGCGCGCAATACGTGTACTCTTGAAAATAAGTTTGTAACACTTAAAGATACAGTATTACGACTACGATTTCCCATTTTGCTCAATGTTTGGATTTAACCTAACCTTAAACGTGTTGTACAGTGTTTGAAAGACTAATTATTTACATTAGACTCCCTCTTATCCAAACTCCATGGGACCGAGGCCAGTCCGGATAACGGGTTTTCCGGTTAAACCGACGTCCCCAAAAACTCATTAAGACTTTAACTCTTAGCAATAATTAACTCTTAGTCTAAATGCATATTGTATACAGTATTTGACTTAAATTTAGGAGAGTATTGTATTTAGACATGTGATCACTGGTCAAATTTTTCCCATGAGAACAGTCGTTTCAGTACCGCCCACTTCCTGCTGATCTAGTCCGGTTAAACTTATGTGCTGATAAAAATTGTCCGGTTAAAGAGATGTCATTTCCACCAAGTGTAGTCCGGTTAAAAGGTCTCCGGATAAGAGGGAGTTTACTGTATATGCTTTATATTAACTGTAGGAAAAATATAATATGTAAAGTGAGTGCAAACTGCCTTTGCTGCACTCAAGAAACTTTCTCTCATGTGCAGCAAAGTGCCACTTCGCCCACTTGTTACACAAATAACTATTCTCTACTACTGCAAGGAAATTATCACATTGTCACACCTGTAAACAGTACGCAAAATAACTCATTTACGATCTAGAGCGGGAATGGATAATTTCTGAATCAGCTGATTCCACTATTGTCGTTTTACACCAACCACAGCTATTAAACATCCAAAATGGTTCTCCAATTGCCAGATCATTAATTGGTAATGATTGATAATTGGTTTATATCAACTATCAGGTGTGTTAACAACTGGTAAGCAAATAACATAACCTAAATTACATTTTATATACAGTAGACTCCCTCTTTTCCGGACACCTTTTAACAGAACATCGGTTTAACCAGACTACACTTGGCGGAAATGACATCTCTTTAACCGGACAATTTTTATCAGCACATTGGTTTAACCGGACTAGATCGGCAGGAAGTGGGCAGTACTGTAACGTCTATTCTCGTGGGAAAGATTTGAAACCAGTGATCACAATACAATGCTCTCCTAAATTTAAGTCGAATATCACAACACACAGTCTGTTTTAACGAGTTTTTGGTAGGGATGGACGGGATTGAATTTTTAGTTCGGGACGGGACGGGACGGGATTTTTATTTCCTTCCCGATTTTCGGGACAGGACGGGACGGGATTTTTTCTGTGCATAAAAAGAAAGTCTTGAGTATTGCAGTTACCAAAAAAAGACATACAAAATCAATTTTTACCGTTTGTGGTACTGATCTGTAAAAACCAAAAAAATGGGTAACAATATACCTAGGTACCTATAGAAACTTGTGACTCACGGTCACGGTGCGATCGTCGGTATGACTCGTGGTCACGGGATGATCGTCGGTATGACTCGCGGTCACGGCGCGATCGTCGGCATGACTCCGCGGTCACGGCGCGATCGTCGGTATGACTCCACGGTCACGATGTGATCGTCGGCATGACTCCGCGGTCACGGGGTGATCGCCGATATGCCTCGCGGTCACGGCACGATCGTCGGCATGACTCCGCGGTCACGGCACGATCGTCGGCATGACTCCGCGGTCACGGCGCGATCGTCGGTATGACTCGCGGTCACGGTGCGATCGTCGGTCCAATAATCACGGTCACAGCGCGATCTTCGTTATGACTCGCGGTCACGTTGCGATCGTCGGTATGACTCCGCGGTCACGGGGTGATCGCCGATATGACTCCGCGGTCACGGGGTGATCGCCGGTATGACTCGCGGTCACGGCGCGATCGTCGGTATGACTCCACGGTCACGTCGTGATCGTCGGTATGACTCCGCGGTCACGGCTCGATCGTCGGTAGGACTCCGCGGTCACGGCGCGATCGTCGGTAGGACTCCGCGGTCACGGCGCGATCGTCGGTAGGACTCCGCGGTCATGGCGCGATCTTCGGTATGACTCGCGGTCACGACGCGATCGTCGGTATGACTCGCGGTCACGGCGCGATCGTCAGTAGGACTCCGCGGTCACGGCGCGATCGTCGAAATGACTTCGTCTCTTGCGTTCGCGGACTATCGCTCGCAATAGCGGCGTCATCGGCACTCGCGAAGCGGCAAAATCGCCGACGATCGGAACAAATCCCGTCCCGAAAAATTCCTGAATCAAATGTAATCCCGTCCCGATAATCGGGAATATTTTTTTCCCGAAAAATTCCCAAAATTTCGGGACCCGTCCATCCCTACTTGGGGACGTCGGTTTAACCGGAAAACCCGTTATCCGGACTGGCCTTGGTCCCGAGGAGTCCGGATAAGAGGGAGTCTACTGTACAAATAAAAATGTTTTCTGTGTATTATGAAAACTTAATAATGGTGGTATGAAAAATCTTGTGTGTATTATGACACAAACAGTCATTGCTGCTCTTGAAATTTATGGCCATCTACAGTTATAGAGCGGCAACGGCAATAACGTACTTTGCTCTCTTAATACAGCTATAGTGATGACTGATCTGCAGTTAGAGAGTGTGTTTACTAGGCTCACCATATGAGAATGTTAATGTTAATCGATACAGCAAAACCTCGCTATTGTGGCCTTGGTTGGTAAAATACATATTTTGTAGACACACTGAGCCTCCTAGGCATCTTAGACATAGTTCCTGGGGAAGCATTTGAGGCCAGTCATACTTGGCAAAATTGCCTGACTCCTATTATTGATAGCAGTTTACTCTCTTTTACCTTTACCTATTTCCCCTGCCATTGCTAAAACTGCAATTTTTGTAGTTCATCACTGCAGAAGCTTTAATACTAGGATAACTAGAGATTTCCTGTGTAATGTAAATTTGCTTGATGTGACGATACTGAATGCAGTTTTTTTTTCAATTAATTGTCAAAAACATCATATTTTAAATTATGAACTTTGAAATTTGATAGTAGATTCAACTATTTCAGGGATTATTTACTGCTTCACAGGTCACGATTAGATAATAATGAACCAAAAATTCTAGAAAAATGAATCCTATACTAATAGCAAGCATTGAACATATCAACATGTTTTGGCAGTTCCATTTAAGTAATGTTAAATAATGTTTATTTTCGGGGCCAAAAACGTCATTTGTTTATGTTTATGATCCATACCGGTATTTGTTTAGTATTCGTGATATGAACTATCATTTATCATTTTATTTTTCTGTGTGATTGCATTGTAAGCATGTATGATTTTAATTGTCAAAAGAATCACATAAACACTTGTATAATGTTTGTAAAGGCAGTTAGTTATTTTCTCTAGATTATCAGATGCTCTATGTCTGTGTTACACAGTACTTGAATTTGAGTGACTTTGTCGCTTTCATCAGACATTATTTAAGTTTCATTATGATGCTCAGACCATCAGAAACTGGTCTGATAGTATCTGAATGATGTATAACTAGGCCTACTCAATGTTGTCAATGGCTACAGAATCATGATAATCCATCTTAAACGAGCGACCGGTAGGCCAGATTTAGGAAAAAGCCCGATCATCGATAGAGACGTTTTAAATGAGTGAGTTATCATTAGTGACAGCCAAAGTCCTTGCAATAAGTTAACAGCCAATAATAACAATAACTAATTGAGATGACAAGTGTAGGAGCGATGACTTTTTCTACAAGTTTTTATGAGCGGGTATTAATTGTGCGAATGTGAGTTTTCTGTTTCGTCTCCCGGTTTGTCACCATTTGCCAGTACTGTAGTGTTGTTATACGTTGTGTTGTAGTTATTGTACCTACTCCACAATAATAGTATATTAGGTGCAGTAATGCTAAAGAATGTACCGTATTGTATGTTACCAGTTACGGTATATATATTTATTTGTGGCCTTTTTTTTAAGGGATGAAATTGAGTTAAATTGCTGGAGGGTCCGAATGATTGAGGTTTTACTTATGCTACTATAGTTAATATTATGTTTCAGGAACTTTGGGACCTAATATTGCTGAGTTGGTGACTCAGTTTAAGAATGGAGTAGAGTATGCTTGTGTAAAAGATGAGAAGACGCCGGAGTTTGGATGGATAAATACCACCATTGGACGGGTGAGTGTTTAATTCATAAGATGGAAAGTAAATAAAAGATATAGCCTATTGGGTCTGATAATTGGAGTGTCCAATCGAAATTGATCACCTCTTACCATCTTTTTTGTATATTTACCGTCTTGTGAGTAACAGTGTAAGCGTAAATATATGTTTTAAGTGTTATAAGACGTCTCTTATTTACTTTATTTACTTTCCGTAAGTTTAATAACACGTACAATGCTGATCAAAAAGTTATTTAATTCATAAGACTTACAGGGTGGCTACTGCATCAGTAATTTTAAATTCCCTGACTTTTCCCTGAACAATATATAATTTTCCCTGACCAAAAATACAGGTGATTTGCGTTAAATTAATGTTATTACTTGGATATAATCACTAAATAACATATAAAAATTACTGACTTCAATTTATTAGCGTTTTTCAGGTTTGTCATTAGATAGCTTTGTTAAAAGTTGAATAAATAGGCTAGGCCTACTAAAATATAAATATTTTATGGTTAATAACTGATGGAGTAGGCCTACCTAAATTTCAAAATATATACAAATATGAAGATGATAAGAAGGATTTTAATATCAACTAACTATCTATCTTCTATCTATATATTAATAGGCAAGCATGTTTCTTTAAATCCTTTTTTCTCAGCTTGTGTGCATCGCAGGGAGAATCTACGCATATTGTTGGAAAGATATTTTCCTGTAGATGTGCAGAATCCCTTTATAAACTAAAATAGGCTCAATAATAAGCACAAAAATGAGTTAAAAAATTTGAAAAAATTCACATGGATCTTATGGGTTGCCATGCTGGTGACGATATAGCAACGAAATATAAACAGAAAATAAAAACAAATGGAAGAATCTCCAACCACATGTTTTATTAACAGTGTGGGGTGAAAATAGAAAAGTCTGTACATTACATGGATGACCTCTTCTATATATTAATAGGCAAGCATGTTTCTTTAAAACCTTTTTTCTCAGCTTGTGTGCATCGCAGGGAGAATCTACGCATATTGTTGTTCTGTATATATATTTTATTGAAAAACATACTGTAACATCCAACTTTACATCACGAAACAAGGATAAATCGGTTTGTACAAATGTTTGCAGAAACTACGTGAACAAGCTCAAAAATAAGCAAAAAAAATAAATTTATTTTAAATAATTTAATTTTAATTATTTTAATTTTGCCTGAGATGCACTCAAGCTGAGAAAAAGGGTTTTAAAGAAACATGTTAATATATATACTATATATTTTAATGAAATTTGGCAATCCTGTTTATGTTATACTAAGCTATCAAGATTCCAATAACATAAAACACACCTCCCCTGTACCTTCCATGTAGCAGCAAACCTAAATACTCGTTAAAATTGTAATTTTAAAAGGAAATAAATCTGACATTTTAAGGGAATATTTTAGTAGAAATTCAGCCAGGTAAATGTAAAATGGAAATTGAAATTTGCTTAGTCTGCAGGTTTGCTGCAGCGGGTCTATTATTTTTACTGGGTGACACAACAAAACTACTTACATTTGTTTTTAAAAAACTTTCTTGGATAAATCATTAGTATTAAAAATAAATTTTGTTCACACTAAGCTACTCTTTTTAATCAACTACCCTCAAAATAACATTTTTGTCATACTGCAGCAAAAAAAGCTGTTTTAATACATGCATTGCGGGTCTAAAGTAGCTCTTTTACTCCATAGGGAGTAAAAATCAGCTGTTGTAAACTTTGGTTGTAAGCAATTGCATGTATCGAAACAATTTATCGATTGATTTAATCGGTTTTAGCTAATTCTTGCATTATTGGCAATAGTTTGACATATCAATTTAGTACAAAAGTAGAATATATAGCAAGACAATTGTAATAGACGAAATGATTGAATCAATTACTGAACAGGTGCTTATTTGCATTAGTAGAATTGAAAACAAGCAGGAAGTCGTTTTGAGAGGTTATCTTTACATGAACAAGTATGTTTGTTTTCTAACTTAGTTTGTTAATGTTGCAGTATGGAAAAAATATACTTCATGCAAAAAGTGTCTTTTAACCCTCCCTCATTTTCCTGGAAGTGAAACTTGAGCTTAGGTCGAAAAGAGTCACTTTACGCCCTAATGATGAAATATACTATTTTTGTCTTATTCCTATAAATTATATTAAAAAATAGGGGTTTTAAAAAGTAAAAAAAGTGTTTTTTTTTGTTAGTTAAATATGGAAGATAGTCAACTGGAGGAAAACTTTCAGGCCTTGGTAAATGACATCAATACAAACAGACCAAAACGCCCAGGACCTTTTATTACCAGGTGAGTTACAATTAATTTAGAAATGTTACTCTTTTAGTTTAATTGAGAGGATATTGAACAACACTTAAGTCGCAAGATCACAAATTTAAAAGCAACCCTGATTGAAATTACAGAAATATTTTTTATTATTTTTAAATATTAGCCTACCTGTCTGCCTTAAAAAGTGCACAAGCATATTTTTGCAATTACAGTAGAGTCCCGTTAGTCCGAAATGGTTGGGACCGGACCCATTTCGGATTACCAAATATTTCGGATTAAACTTTTTTTTGATGTTTTTTTAAACATTAAAAAAAAATCTTTTTCAAATAAAAAAAAAAAATTTTGTCTTAGGACGCTAGGCATGAGCCCGGGATTGTTTTTCACATTACTTAAGGCTAGACCTAGTGGATCTCCCCACTATCACATCACATTATCACTTAATAAAATCCATTTGTGATTTGGCGGGATTGGGGATTGGAACCCGGGACGAAAATAAAAAATGTTAATAACAAAAATGGTGAAATATTTACTAAAATACTCTCCAAAAAGTCTATCTCGCTCGGCCGCTACAGAATACTTTTACTAGGTACAGCTAACTGTGTTAAAAGTTAAATAAAAAAAAAATTTAAAACTTTAAAACATTTTAACTTTTTTTATTAATATTTTTTTTGTTTCGGATTAAGCGGACTTTCAGATTACCGAAGTTCGGATTATTGGGACTCCACTGTACAACTCATAAAAGGGAAATTGAAACCTTAAGCTTTGAATTGTGGTTATAGCCATAGTTGGGAAAGTTGGTCAAAAATTCTAACTAGTTAAAAGTTTATTAGTTAGTCCCGTAAAAAGTAACTGATAGAAGTTATTAGTTACTGTAGTTGAAAAACTAACTGAACTAACTGAAACTAACTGTTAGAAGTTGTACGAGACTTAGGCTATCTTTTTTGCACAGTTTACATTTTGCTACATCACTACTTTCACTAATAATATTCAAAAAGGCCCACACATCACTTTTACATTTACTCATATTAAATAAAAAAAACTATATCATTCATTAACTAAAATCAAAAGAAACTCAATTAGAACCAATGTGAAATAACAATAACATAACCTCAACAGTCAACATACGGATGTATCATACAACATACACTGTAACTGCAACACCGCGATCGTGCATATATAAAAGGACTACTGCATCTTATGACTTATGACTTATCTCTAAAACGCTAACCGTGATTGGTTTATCGTCGTCCTCACCAGCCACACTTTCTTATATTATAAGCAGCCAATAAGAAAGGTTCTAATAAGTTAGTAAAGACACTAGCACTCGGTGCGGCGTTCAACAACAATCCAAGTTTCAATGTCGCTGAAACATAGCATGTGATTGGTTGATCGTTGTCGCAGGGCAGTAGGTGAGCCAATGAGATTGTGTCTATTAAAATGCCAAGGACACTAATGCTCGCAGTTGTGATCAACCAAACCAAGTATCCACGTCGCTATCACATTACACGTGATTGGCCGAACATCGTCTCTGGGTGGAAAACTAGCCAATGAGGTCGTGTCTATCAAAGTGGCAAGGCCACTAGCGCTCGCAGTGGTGATCAACCAAACCTAATATCATCCTAAGTATCGAGTATAGCCGATACCTCGATACCGCTGGTATCGAGAGTATTTGTGTATCAATATCGGCCCACCTCTATTATTTAGTTTATTAAGGGTAATCAAGACAAACTTTTTAAAAGTGTCAAAGTGTCTTTATTGAGATATAACTTAAGGAATATTTTTATTACCAAAATGTAGAAAAATCACATTTTTTAAAGCTGTTATAGGCTCTATAATCACAATTAGATAATTATTAAAAAACATTGGATGCAACATGTTTTGCGTCTGTAAACAGATTTACGCCACACTACACTATTTTGACAAACTTCCCACGCAAGAATTTTAGTCCAGAAAACAGCTGTTTGCCGCCAGCTTAATCAAATGGGGTTCAATTGTGTACTACTGTACTGTAATGAGTTTTACCGGACACCAATCAGCTGATTATACTGTATTTGGGTGGCAATGAGTAGTTATAAACCAAAACATAACCTATTCATTGTTATAGCACAGTCCAACTCTTGACAGTAACATTCAGGCCAGAGATGTTAAACATCCACTTACATTACGTTCCTGAATCATCTTAATTCTATAAAATTGAACATTTAAAAATTATGTTAGGTAATAACGATTGCACTCTTACTTGAAATAAAACAGTGTGCAGTAATGGGGTGCAGTCAAAATAGGTTTTGCTGTAAAAGTTACTTAATTTTTATTAATATTTGTATTCACGCTGAATGAATTTTTCAGGGTAATTATGTCATGCCCTCCATCTACTGAAAATTTAAAGGTCAACATTGAACCATACTTAGAAGAAAAGCAGATTGAAGATGACAGCTCTGATGAAGATGAAGCTATTCCGGCTAAAGCATAGATTAATTTTGTATATTTAGTTGTCAAATAGAATGTTTATTTAATCATGGTTGTTTTTGTCTCCTTTATAATTTATCTACTTGCAAAGTGTATTGCATAGAAATAAGTTTATGTAACAATGTTTAAAACATTTTTTTATATATCTTCATGAGATAACCATTATCACTTTTACTGTAGTGGTAATAAAAGATTAAGCATCGATTAAGAAAATTTTATTTATAAAATATACATTACAAAAAGTTATAAAATTATATATAAACTATTTGATATAAAATAACTTACAGTGATAGTGTATTAGCTCTACAACAGGGCTTATAAGTTGGCACAATTGTATACAAGTGTTATTAAAGTTAGATTTTTATTGCAGAATGAAGTTAAATATCATTTTTATTTTTTTAAACGTTTTTATTAGGTCGCTTTCTTGTCCGCTACAAATTTTGCAGCCGATTTTATACTAACTTCCCGATGAGCTAGGGACTTGAAACTTGAAACATATCTCACAAATGGAAGACAATGCAATATTATACAATTTAATTTTCATATTTCCCTTGGGCTACGCCCCATGGGCTTGTTTTTATTAAATCGATTTCTTGAAAATTTTGATACTTCCCGATGAGCTAGAGACTTGAAATTTGAAACATAGCTCACAAATGGATGACATTGCAATATTATATCATTTAATTTTCATATTTCCTTTCGGGCTACGCCCCATGGGCTTGTTTTTATTAGCTCGCTTTCCTACAAATTTTGATATCAATTTTAAACGATGTTCCCGATAAGCTAGAGACTTGAAATTTGAAACATAGCTCACAAATGCATGACAATGCAATATTATATCATTTAATTTTCATATTTCCCTTGGGCTACGCCCCATGGGCTTCCAAATTTTTCATGTTTACATTTTGAAAGGATGGAAATATATCAACTAATTTAAGTCAGCTGTAAATACTTAAATTTGACGGTTCGAAGAGCAGAGGTTAAGAGGTACAGGTTATGCTCCCAAGAGATTCTTTATACAAACAAACATTTCAAAATAAAGATAAACAATCTGATTGCAGTTATCAAGGTGTTTGTAAATAATGTCAATTTTTGTTTATTTAGTATTCTATAAAGTAAACAATAAATATTTCGAGTGAATGCATTGCAGAGAAATTCCACAACAAACTATAGTTAAATTATTATATATTGTGAGTTTTCGGATTAACGAACTGTAAACATGTAATAATATCAATTATTTGTGAATATTGCATGATAACTCATATTATGGTCAAGGAGACAGTCACCCAACGCAAGCGACGCCTAGAGAAGGAAAAGAAAAAAGACTAGTTAAGCTTCAACAGGAATCGGAGGTTTGTAAATCGGCAAGACTACTATGTCAGCGTCAGGCCTATGCTAAATCCACGGCTTATTGGAAGGAGACAGCCTCCCAACGCAAGCGACGCCTAGAGAAGGAGAAGAAAAAAATACAAGTTAAGCTTCAACATGAATCGAAGACTTGTAAATCGGCAAGGTTAGCCAAATGGCGTAAGCGAGCTACGCAGGTTTGTAAATCGGCAAGACTACTACGTCAGCGTCAGGCCTATGCTCAACGGGAAGGTGATTTCCATCTAACCAAAAACACTTTTTGTGACAAGTGTTGTGATATCTGGAAGAAAAAGTGCTACCCTAATCAGGTTATGAAACAATGTTCTATTTCACCGGAGCCATACATTTCCCACATGCCTCTATCTTAATCTGATATAGATGCTTGAAATAGATTTAACATGCACACACATTAAAACTAAAAAGTATAAAATAATTTATAAATAAAAAACTTTTTTTAAACAAAACGTTTTTAAATGCCCTAAAAAGTAGAAAATAATTTACAAATAATTTATAAATATGTTGAGAGAGTATAAATACTTGTACGATTTAAAACGAAAAACGTTGGGTGCATGCAATTAATTGATATTAATACATTTGTTCAGTAGGTGAAGGTAAACTATCTATTGCATGCACCCCACGTTTTTCGTTTTAAATCGTACAAGTACTTATACTCTCTCAACATATTTATAAATTATTTGTAAATTATTTTCTACTTTTTAGGGCATTTAAAAACGTTTTGTTTAAAAAAAGTTTTTTATTTATAAATTATTAGCATAAAAATCTGATTACAGTGGCAACAAAAAAGGTATTTAATCTCTCGTTTCCATACAGTATACTTCTTACAAGCTAATTTTTAAAAGGTAATTATCACAATAGGTAAAGGCAGAGAGCACATCTTAGGATAGATAACTGGTTAAAATAGGATCCTTAACAATTCTGTTTTCCTTCTCTTGGTCACAACTAAACATACTGTTTGTTTTATTATTAGGGTACTGACAGGCAGCTTGCAATGCACCAATAGTGAAAGTCAAAACTTGAAATCTCCATTTGTAAGTTTGTTATCAGTTGAAGGGGAGCTGGACATGTGAGTCAGTGAGAGGAAAGGTTGCAATCTTACAGTGAACTCTTCTACACCAAGTCTCTGGCAGTGGTGTTGCAGTGTTGAGAGATCCACCTGTAAATAATGCATGTTGAATTATCTAATGTCAGACGTTTCTTAAGTTCTTTATTACATTTTGAAGAATTGACATAGGATACTTGGCTGATGACGTATCAGATTCATTACTAGGAGTTCATTATATACGATAAATACTGGATATAAAACAGATATAAAACACAAGTATAATAGAACCTCGACTTTGTGGACTAAGGAGAAGTTAAACTACCGAATGTTGAAATATTTTGGACATTTACAGTACACACAGGATTATTTAAAACACGAGATAAAGCAAACAAATTTAATGGATACAGTAGTATAAAACTTGACAAAAATAAAAAAACCTTAAATAAACAAACCTATAAAACCTTGGTGAAACCGTCATCAGCCGCTGCCGACATGTGAACCAAATCGGCACATGAATAATGAATAATGAATAATGAATAATGGAGTTTATTTCCCACAAAAAATTGTCACAGTTTGTGTCGAACTATAGGGAGTGTCAACCTGTAGGGAATGTGGAACTATCGAGGTTCTATTGTACAAATAAGTTTATTTAATTATTTATTTCCAAAAAATACAAATTTACAAAACACATACAATTTAGCTATAAAAAACATTTTAGGCTTGTGTGCAGCAATTATTATAATTTTTGTTATTTCACAGTGCGTTTTCATTCATTCAGTGTTTTGTTTCCCTTGTTTTTCTGTAAGTAAACTATACCATGACACAGAATTCAATAAACCAATCATAGAATCTAAAGTAGTCAGATTTTAACAATTATTTATAAACAATGAAAAAAGTAACAGTAATAAACTGATTTAACAATTAATAAATTATTACAAAAATTACAATAATAAACATTTGGAACAGTGAACAACAATGATAAAATATAATAAAACACAGTTATTTCAACTCAGATCTAGATATAAATTCTTTAACTTCTTCTATAGAACACTATAGTAACATATATTCCTCAGCTGTACCGGTAAACTATTTAACAAGAATGGAACTAAATATTCCTTTGTTCTATTTATTGAATGTTTATTTGTTGTTCTAGGTATTTTTATATAACTAGGGGACGAGTAATAGTTTATGATTAGATCGTATTATTAGGTTAAACGAGGTTTTAATTAACTGAAATAACACGAAACAAATTGTAAACAAAATACGACCTCTGCAGTACACCGTACAGAACTAACAATAGAATTGTCTTCAGCTGTTCTATTAGGATGAGAAATCTACTAAGGTAGTATGTTTTATCTATGCTGATATCAAACATAACCTAAACTTGACTTTAATTTGAGAATCTTGTCAGTAAAAACCTGAGTCTGTATCTATATATATAAAATCCAATGTATGTTTGTTTGTTTGTCCTTTATTGACTCCGAAACCGCTGGACAGATTGTAATGAAACATTCAGGCATTATTAAGCATTATTCAAAGATGGTTTGTATGAAGTTTGGTGCAGATCCGTCAAAAGGGCCAGTCAAGAGCCCCAGTGGCTCTGGAGTTTCCCATGTTAACCTAATGAGTACTCATACTTAAATGACATTAAAGAATCTTAACAGCTGGTTTAACTAAAGGTGAGTGAGCGTAGCGAACGAACTGCAACCAGGATGTGATTGAGCAATGCGAACGAGCTCATCTTGAAAATGAACGAGCATTGTCATAAAACCGCATTAGGCCAGGACAACGTCTGTTGGGCCAGCTAGTATTGTATAAATGTAAATGCTGAATGACTAATGATAATTATTGATTAATGATTAAGCTAAAACAAATTGATATTTAGACTTTGCTCACCTGACGAGGTATGGGACAAGAGTAAAGCATCTCCAACACACTTTGCACTCTGTAATGACTCTCCTCGTTCAATGGACACTCAGCTGCAAAACATGACACTTAGATCCATGTGTGTGATAAATGATAATGATACTAAATAATGAGACGTAGGAATTGGCTAACTCAGGAACTCGCTAACTCGGTCGTGTGGCGGAACTGGCTAACTCTGGAACTGGTTAACCGTCTCAGTCAGGAATTGGCTAACTCCGGAACCCGCAAACTCGATTTTGTCTCGCGGCGGAATTCGCTAACTCTGGAAGTCGCTAACCCGGCCGCGCCCACTGTTCGGAGCGTTGCCAACCTTGTACGACAAAATAATCGTACACTGCCGTATTTCAAAATGTCAGTGTCTATAAAGATACAGTAAATGTTATTGTTTTTTGTTATCAATTCCACTTTTAACAGATAACTAGCCCAAAGTAATTATAAGACAATTAAAAAATCATGAAAAAGTGTTTTTTATTAAACTGTACAATGGCCAGTTAAATGTTTATGATTTCGATCTTAAATATAAATGCCATCAGTATAAGAGAAAATAATAGAATATGAAAAATATTCAAAATTTAGTTTAATTGATAATAAATAATTAAACCTCTACGAAATTAAGCTAAAATACACGCAAGTTCTTAAACACGGAAAACAGATTTAATTGTAATGTCGTAATAAACCAAAACCATTAATT